GAGTTTTTAGTGAATTGAAATGAAACTACAGTGTATGTGCTTGGATTCTGCGTTGGATTTGTGGCCGCCCGGTCATTTTGAGCTTGGATTTTTCGCTTCTCGGCTCAGGCGTTCGGAAATGGAGTGTTCAGCCTTGGGCTTTTCTTATGTACGTTGAAAACCTCGAAATGAACAACTCGCTCAAATGGGCTCTTTTCATCAAAGTAAGCGGTCAGATAACAAGAAATACGCTGTGGAAGTAAGGTGAGGTATTTTTTTTTTTTGAGAATTTGACGTATTTTTTTATTCCTTAGAGCGGTCGTAAATATTCCCATACAAACTCTTATAATTCCGCCATGACTGTTATTGCGCAAGATGATCATCTCACAGCTGGAGCTTGGGCCGCCTGTGGTTGATGTGCCAAACTCGCGTAATCCATTCCATTTTGCTGGTAGCTGTAAAAAGGACCCAAAAGGTACGTAACTAAAAAGGAATATTTTAGTTGATGCGCTAAACTCGTGTAATCCATTCTATTTAGCTAGAAATTAAAAATAGGACACAAAATGTACATAACTAAATATAATCTTTTAGTTGATGTGCCAAACTCGCGTAATCCATTCCATTTTGCTGGTAGCTGTAAAAAGGACCCAAAGGTACGTAACTAAAAAGGAATATTTTAGTTGGTGCGCTAAACTCGCGTTATCCATTCCATTTAGCTAGAAATTGAAAAATAGGACTCAAAATGTACATAACTAAAAATAATCTTTTAGTTAATATGCTAAACTCGCGTAGTCCATTGCATTTTGCTGCTAATTGAAAAATAGGACAAAATGTACATAACTAAAAAATAATCTTTTAGTTAATGTGCTAAACTCGCGTACTCCATTCCATTTAGCTAGAAATTGAAAAATAGGACAAAATGTACATAACTAAAAAGAATCTTTTAGTTAATGAGCTAAACTCGCGTAATCTATTCCATTTAGCTAGAAATTGAAAAATAGGACACAAAATGTACATAACTAAAAAGAATCTTTTAGTTAATGTGCTAAACTCGCGTAATCTATTCCATTTAGCTAGAAATTGAAAAATAGGACACAAAATGTACATAACTAAAAAGAATCTTTTAGTTAATGAGCTAAACTCGCGTAATCTATTCCATTTAGCTAGAAATTGAAAAATAGGACACAAAATGTACATAACTAAAAAGAATCTTTTAGTTGATGTGCTAAACTCGCGTAATCTATTCCATTTAGCTAGAAATTGAAAAATAGGACACAAAATGTACATAACTAAAAATAATCTTTTAGTTAATGTGCTAAACTCACGTAATCTATTCCATTTAGCTAGAAATTGAAAAAATAGGACACAAAATGTACATAACGAAAAAGAATCTTTTAGTTAATGAGCTAAACTCGCGTAATCTATTCCATTTAGCTAGACATTGCAAAATAGGACACAAAATGTACATAACGAAAAAGAATCTTTTAGTTAATGAGCTAAACTCGCGTAATCTATTCCATTTAGCTAGAAATGGAAAATAGGACACAAAATGTACATAACTAAAAAGAATCTTTTAGTTGATGTGCTAAACTCGCGTAATCTATTCCATTTAGCTAGAAATTGAAAAATAGGACACAAAATGTACATAACTAAAAAGAATCTTTTAGTTGATGTGCTAAACTCGCGTAATCTATTCCATTTAGCTACAAATTGAAAAATAGGACACAAAATGTACATAACTAAAAAGAATCTTTTAGTTGATGTGACAAACTTGCGTATTCCATTCCATTTTGCTGCTAATTGAAAAATAGGACACAAAATGTACATAACTAAAAATAATCTTTTAGTTGATGTGCTAAACTCGCGTAATCCATTACATTTAGCTAGAAATTGAAAAATAGGACACAAAATGTACATAACTAAAAAGAATATTTTAGTCGATGTGCCAAACTAGCGTATTCCATTCCATTTTGCTGCGAATTGAAAAATAGGACACAGAATGTACATAACTAAAAGTAATCTTAGTTGATGTGCTAAACTCGCGTAATCCATTGCATTTTGCTGCTAATTGAAAAATAGGTCAAATTGTACATAACTAAAAATAATCTTTTAGTTGATGTGCTAAACTCGCGTAATCCATTACATTTAGCTAGAAATTGAAAAATAGGACACAAAATGTACATAACTAACAATAATCGTTTAGTTGATGTGCTTAACTCGCGTATTCCATTCCATATCGCTGATAGCTGTAAAAAGGACCCAAAACGAACATAACCAAAAAGAATCTTTTAGTTGATGTGCTGAACTCGCGTAATCCATTGCATTATGCTGCTAATTGAAAAATAGGACAAAATGTAATAACTAAAAATAATCTTTTAGTTGATGTGCTAAACTCGCGTAATCCATTGCATTCTGCTGCGAATTGAAAATAGGACACAAAATGTACATAACTAAAAATAATCTTTCAGTTGATGTGCCAAACTCGCGTAATCCATTCTGTTTTGCTGCTAATTGAAAAATAGCACACAAAATGTACATAACTAAAAATAATCTTTTAGTTGATGTGCTAAACTCGCGTACTCCATTCCATTTTGCTGCTGATTGAAAAATAGGACACAAAAGGTACATAACTAAAAATAATCTTTTAGTTGATGTGCCAAACTCGCGTAATCCATTCCATTTTGCTGCTAGTTGAAAAATAGCACACAAAATGTACATAGCTAAAAATAATCTTTTAGTTGATGTGCTAAACTCGCGTACTCCATTCCATTTTGCTGCTGATTGAAAAATAGGACACAAAAGGTACATAACTAAAAATAATCTTTTAGTTGATGTGCCAAACTCGCGTAATCCATTCCATTTTGCTGGTAGCTGTAAAAAGGACCCAAAAGGTACGTAACTAAACAGAATATTTTAGTTGATGTGCTTAACTCGCGTAATCCATTCTATTTTGCTGCTAATTGAGAAATAGGACACAAAATGTACATAGCTAAAACTAATCTTTTTTGTTGATGTGCCAAACTCGCGTAATCCATTCCATATTGCTGGTAGCTGTAAAAAGGACCCAAAACGAACATAACCAAAAAGAATCTTTTAGTTGATGTGCTGAACTCGCGTAATCCATTCCATTTTGTTGATATAGTTATTGAGTTAAAGCATTTAATTATTCATCTTTGCTTTTATGGCATTTCATTTTTAATATTTTTTTTAAAAAGGAAAAAGATAACCACCTAAGAGATCGAAGAGAGATAAGAGGGAAGCATAGAAAATTTCCAGCAAAGGTAAGCCAACATTTCTAATAAGTACTGAGAAATATGTCATTTAGGGTATCGCAGCTGTTTGTGACAATTTTTTCCAGCACAATTAGCTTCAAGCACCTGACTCTTGCAATCACTAAAGAAATCCGCAGATACTAATTGTCAGCAGCATAAGAGTTTTCGTAGAATTTAAGTAAGGAACATTAAAGTGTGTTCAATTCAATTTCGTCTTTACTATCAAGACTTACCGGTAGTGTTGGTCCATATGAGTTCTCTGACTAGCTTCATGTAACATTAAAAAGAATGTCATCATTTTCTCGAAATTTAAAGGGGTGCTCACTGAGAGGGATTATGCTCAAGAGATTGGATAACTCTCTCTTTAAGTAGCACGAAGGTGTTATTAGAGGATTGACTGATCACTAGCCACATATTCATGTTTTGGAAAATTTGCCGAAGCCTAGATTAGCTTGTTGCCTGAATGTCACAAAGAGGTCACCCATTTCTCTTAACAACCTAAAATTATTCATTCCTTACGTTGAGTGTGTATCATTCCCACGTATGTCAATGTGATGATGGGCCCTTGTGATATTTAATACACGAAACTTCATCAGATGGGATGATTTTTTTCTCCAACAGCTATCATGAAATGAAAATGAAGGTTTCTTGGATTTCACCGGTCGAGAGTTTGTCATTTTCAAAGAGGGAGCTATGAATGTTCTGTTCGTCTGGAGACATGAGATATCTGCTGCTGTCACTAGTCTTTATAGGCATGTAACTGCAGAAAGTGTATTAATTTTGATGGCAATTGCATCCCATGTTTTGATTTCTTACTCAGTTACTGATGCCAGGATGATTACAAAACACCCACCCTACCCATAGATGTTCATTGCTGTCTCTTGAAATTGTACTTTCTGTGATTTTGATCTGAGTCAGATTACCCTTGAATGTGGTTTAAATTCTCCTAAAATCACTTTTCTCTGTGAATGAATGTGTGAGAAATGTCACCGATTGAGTTCAGATATACAAGTGATGTATGAACACTCAACATTCCTTCTTTTTGATGTCCACTTACATGCAGGAGAAGGAAGACTTTCTGAACTGGCTATGGTTTGGGGTTGTACCTTGGCAATCCTGTATGTTACTTACAACAGTTACAGCAAGCAGCATCATAAATATTTGTTTTCTTCCTTATTAATCCCTATCAACCTTTCATACTTTGAAATTAATGAACTTTATCAATGAAAGAACATGCTTTGGCAGAACTGTAACTACTCTAGTTCTGCAACCCAGAATATACTATTTTTGTATTATAGCTGTTACTATTATCATATATATATTTACATTACATAACTGAGAACAGAAACATAGACTGCTTAGCCATCCACATGCCCTATTACCAAGCATTTCAGAAATTACAGCAAGTCATCTCTACGACAGCAATGAGTGAGTGAAATACCACTTTCTTGCTTTGAACAAAATCTTACATACTTGATTACAATCTGGTTATGGTGGTTTTAAATAAGAACTAATTACTCAAAAACTATCTTCATAATACTGTTCTTTTAACTGATTGGTAGTGATTCAAAATACTGCTAAACTTTGATAGACACAACATAGGAAATGATGAGAATGAAATATTTTGCAATAATTAAATAAGAACAGTTTAAAATATCTTTCAGAAAAAAAAAACTTTAGATGCACTAAAAGGGACAAGGAAGGCTTAAGAATAATCATTTTTGTGTCATGTGACATCATCTTCCAACCCTAAAAATACAGCTTTTTAGTGACAATTAGATGATTCACATTGTCACCTCACTTTGCTGTTGCAATATCACCTTGCTAACTCTAACGCAGAATCTCTAAAAATGAATGATGATACCATGTATTTTTGTCAATGACATGTTTTTTGTACTCTTCTTTAAAATTATGTTTTGGATCCTCAATTTGACACAAAAATTGATCATTATTAGCCCTTCCTGTCCCTTTAAGGTGTAGCATTATATGGTGCCAACTGAAGTGATCCATTCAGAAGACTTGCTCGGTATATAAATTGTTTAGGAAGAGCAAAAAACTTTCCTTTCTCCAAAAAAGAGTTTTCATCTGGATCGCCAGCAATAAATGGCGCCATAACATTAGATTTTGCTGCTGTTAACAGTACACAAACGTGATCTGTTGGTACTCTCTTGCCATGAATTTCTCTTCGATGTTCCTCTAAATGGCCAGCTGCCATGACAACTGAGTCACGTCTGTACACCACCATCACTGTTGAAATGGAGAAAACAGAATATAAGATAAAAAATTAATATGCAACCAACAGGGATTTCATAGCATACTATTTACTAGATCAACTTAACATGTACATGTACACAGGTCTTGAAGAAAATTATAGTTTTTGCTGAAAACATCAGAAAGTCTTACAAAACAATACTACTATGCATTTATTGTGACTTGTACTTAATTTGCTACAATGAAGAAAAACAAACAATTGAAACAAACCATTATTTTGTGAACTGGAAGCTAATGCTGCCCCAACCGTTCTGTCTTGCTCTCTGTCTGGTGTTCCACCTTCTGTACTTTCAGACTCTGTATCTGAGAATCAAGTAAATTAGACTGTTCCAAATCCATACGTGGTGCTCAAACAAAAACCAGAAAAAAAGAAAACAACATAACAAAAACAAGCTAAAAAGTGGCTTGCATTGCAAATGAAACTAACCCCAGTTTACAACATCAGTAAAGCAGGCATTACCTTTTTCTGGATTCTTCAAATTACCAAAAGTGAATGACACTTCCCTTTGACCTAATTGGATATCTTGGCAAATCAAATGATGGGTTTTCTTAATAGGCTATTTATGGTGCATACTCAAATCTTGTTACACAGAAAAAGGACGATTTTGCAGCCAAACATGCAATGCCTGTGAAATGTTCTCTGAATGTAAGAACAAAATTGAATTTTTAAACCTTTTACTACCATTGACTCTTTTGTTTCCCTAGCTTCCCAAACTACAATTGACAGTGCACCTTCAACTCTGTACTAATATTATGAAACAAAATGAGTAGCATAGTGACCTTTTCTGAGTCCACTTGGTTATAATTTGTTATCTTAATTATCTTTAATGGGACATCAATTTGAAGATTTCATGGATCTGTGGTATGATAGCAAAATTCAATATACATGCTAACACTGAATTATCACCAATAATTTTTAAGAAAGAACTTAATCCTAAAATGTTACCTTTGTAGATACTTTTGCATAAGTTGTTACAGTGCATACAAACAAACATTACAAACCATTATTTGGGGAACTGGATTCCGCTGCTGCCCCAGCTGTTATGTCTTGCCCTCTATCTAGTGCTCCAACTTCTTCACTTTCAGACTTGGTATCTGAGTATCAGGTAGTTATATTGAACTTAATGTGTAAGTGGTGCTCAATAGTAACCAAAAAAGGGAACCTTAAACAAACTAAACAAAAGTAGAAACAAGGAAACAAAAATAAACAAGAACAAAACAAACCTGCATTGCAGAGAGTAGATGGGGCCGCAGTTAACAACTCATTTGGCACTTTGGGAGTTGCACAATTGCTAGAACTTTCAGACTGATCTAAATGTGTGAGCAAGAAATCCCCAAGAGATAGATTTGGGGTGTAACATACAATGTAAATTATTGTAAAACCTGATTAGATGCACTCTAATATTTCAAATATTTTTGACATATTAAATTCAAATGCCTAGGAAGAAACAGTTCAACTACCTTCCAGAGAAGAGGTTGGCAATTCACCTGTGGAGTCATTAGAGGTAGATGCAGTTGTCAAATGTTCATTGCCAGACCTTGAATAGTAATCTAAATAAAAAAGAAGTTAGCCAATAGTCACATTACAAACTAATATACAATGAGGAAGGTCAAGTCTGATTACATAGAAATTGGAATTACATAACTTGCTAACCTGCTAATGGAAAGCAACATGAGTAAGTGCTGAGATGGAGGGATACACTTCTCACTGCCAATTCACTTTTATTAATAAACATCATTAAGATTCAAAGTGATAATGTTTACAAAATTAATGCAGCCAATCAGTTTGCTTTATTATTTTTTTTTTTTGGTTTGGCACATTTTTTTTTTGTCAACCACAACAAAAATATTATGATGATAAAATAGTAACTTGACATTGGTATTCAATAAATATAGTGCAAGTGTCTGTTTTGGTAATTAATAAAGTATGTAGATCTGATGGGCTTCTATATTATCAATGGAAAAGTATTGGTTTACAGCACCTTTGAGAAACTTCTTAAACAGCATTAATGCCACATCTCCACCTTCTGAAATCTTTTTGTTGCTCTTATTTCCAATGAAGGCAACCCCTGCACCAGCAGTGCCATACACAGTTATGGTGTTACCATCACCATGCCTGTTTTGCATCATGATGACAACATCACAGTCGTGCTTCACGTTTAGAATATCAGCCTAGAGTACAGTAAAGATCAAAGCTAGCTTTTTGTGTTCAGTGTCAAGAACTACTATCATGCAATCTGGTAATGCATGTAATACATAATACATACTGTATTTTTCACTTGTAAGGCGCACCACTTTTTACGAGAAAATATGCTTGTTTGATCAAAATCTGCTCAAAACTTGGGGTACGTCTTATATCCGAGTATTTTCGCGCCACAAAATATAACTTTTCCAAATTTCCTTAATAAACTGAAATGAGTATGTAAATAAATAGCGGTAAATTAATAAACAAAACACATCCAACGTTGACCATTGACTTTATCAGATTTGTTGGTTCTAAAAAGAACCGGGGTGGCTCTGAAAAAAAACATTTGTTTGAAAGCTGGGCTGAGCTCAGCTACTCGTCGTCTTCGGCTTCGCTGTCTCTCGAACTCGTTGTTGATCCGCTCTTCTATGTCCTCTGCTTCTTCTTCCTCGTCATCCCAAACCGCATCATCTTCAGTTCCATCGAGAGCATCGCTGATGCCACAGGACTTGAACGATCTAGTTATCAACTCAACTGGGATCTCTCTCCATGCTCGATCGATCCACCGCAACACCATCTCTTTACTGAGCGCTCGCTTCTTTCCGGAGGGCGTGTAAGTAAATGGGCCGTTAACCATCCAGGTTTCGTATTGCGCACGGACCTTTGCTTTGAGTGGCTTATTGATGCACTTATCCAGGGGCTGAAGAACTAGAGTGAGCCCACCGGATATTACGGCAACATCGACGTTTTGTCTGTCAAGTAGGTCTTCAACTGCACCATTAAATGGGCGCGGAAGAAATCCCAAACTAGAAATCCCCAATGCCCAGGCGTAAATCGAAGATTTTTCCGAATCCTATCCTTGGTTCCTATAAGTTAGAAAGACAAACTGTGATTAGGCAACAGTTAAAGACATGACTTTCTACAGCGAACGTGCTAAAAAGCATGCGCTTGAAATATTGACGTTAGAAACAATCGAACAAATTCCAAACCTCGCTCCCACGAAATATGGTAAACTTGGCTACAAATCGTTCGAGGAAATTGTCGTGGCCGCTATTATATACTCCGAATGATAAAGGAAAAAGAACAAATCTTCTTCCTCCATCCAGCCCTTCTTGTGTACAGAAACCTGCATTCCTCTGGGCACCTGAATTCGTAGCTGACGAACGCCTTTAAAAATAGCCTTCGGTGGAAGTTTCTCACCATTCGCCTTCACTGCTAGGACGACCGTGAAACTCTGTTTATCGCCTCCGCAGGATAAGATGGGCACTGTTCGGTTTCCAGTGTTCTTGTGGCTGGCAACTCGAATCTCATCGGGGTTTCGTCCATGTTCAGGATGTGGCTGGACTCCTAGCTGCAACGCTGTCTGGCTCTCGACACGAAGCGATGGAATTCCACTACCTTGTCTTCCATGTCGGCGGAGCCAAAGTCGTCTTACTTCTCATGGAAATAGCATGGCGACGTTTCCATTTCGTGTACCAGCCAGGGTACTTGGCATAATTACTGAAAATTTACGGTACGCTGAACGAATGCTCGAAGATTAAGATGAGTTTTGCAACTGATCAATGAAAGATCTGCCAGATGAGTATTGTTTATAAAGGGAAAAGCGGAACAATTAGTATTCATAACTTAAAACATTGTCTCCTGAGAAGGATGACTTGAGTGAATTCAAACGTGTGACTTTTATGCTATTTTCCATGTGTGACTTTCTTGCTATGGTTTGTAATGTGTGACTTTTTCGCTTTTGTTTTGAGAATGAGGGCACTGTAACAAGTAACTTCTAGAAGCTTGTAACCGAGTGCGCCTTATAAGTGAATAAATACGGTATAATGAATTCGGCAGGGTTATATGCGTAACTGATTTTTCACAAGAAAACATTGAGGAACTTTTCTTGGTTTTCCTACACATATACATGTAGGGTAGAGTATCACACATGTAGGAAAAAGTTTGTGTAACTCAAGTTATCTAACGAAGAGATGATATCAACAACAAGATGCCCAATTTTTTTTAATGCAGTGTATATTACATTTAATGCTACTTACACGTTTTTCCATCAATCGTCTCTGGATTGTAAGATTTGTTTGTCCCATTTTTTTAATTTTTTCCAGCTGTGCAGGCTTCCTGATCTTGGGAAAGATGGCTGAGCATTCTTCACACCGCCTCTTTGCCGAAGGCTGCTCTGCACCACAATCAGAGCATGTCTATTGACCAAAAAAAGGAAGCTAAAATCAGTTAAAATATTTCTCACAATACCTTCAAAAAAGGATCTACATGTAAAACTGTGGAACATGAAAGATGTAATATAAAAAAAAAACAACAACAGATGTCATACTGTTAAGATCAACCAAGAAATCAGACTTTTTAATCCCATTTTTCAGATGAGATTACAATTTGGTACCTAACCTGTTTGCCAAACTCATCAATAGAATGTCCTTTAATTTTATCCTGAATAATAACTTTTTGTCTGACCATTAGGCACCTTTCCCTAACTATTTTGTGTCTGCTTTGAATTTTCTTACAATTGTAAAATTACTTTTGATAACCTATTTCAATTGGCTCAAATGAGTTTATCCACCCATTGAGCTACCTAATTGTGGTCCTAAGATCTTGTGATCTTAAGCTCACACAAGTACATGAACATATGGCACTTGCCTTTCTTCCCTTCTTCACTGTTGAAGTTCCTAGATGGAGAGGTTAGAATGCAGTTAAAGTTTGAATGCCCGAAACAGCCCAAAAATTGACAGTTTCTATATAGTAGTAGTATGTGTCTTATATGGATGTGAGTGCTGAGTAACAGAAATCTAATGCCAATTAACAAACTATGTTAATCTTGGAGATTATAGTATAAATCATGCGGGTTACTGATCTTTAGCATGAGTTCAAGTGTACCCAAAGAATACACCTGAGGTTATCAACAAAATCTTTCATTTTGTGACAATAAAATGCACCCATAAAGAGAGCAAGAATATCACAGTTTTAGCAGCTAGAGTATCTACACTCTATCCTCTATGTTAAAATCCAGTAAGTAAGTAAGTCTGTGACATCCTGCTATTTCTGAAAATTACTGTCCTGTGTCTCTAGATTTTCAAAACAGGGCAATGTTTGTTGTTCTAATTACCACAGTGGCTTAGCGAGTAATTCACTACGTCATTGTTCATGTAAGTCAGTAGGCACAAGTAAGAAAGAAACCTAGTTAAGTCCGTGACCTTTCGGAAGCTTTTAAATCAATCTCACAAGAATTAGGGCACCCATTGATATCAGCGATTGCTGACAGGTTTACCCTGGCTAAAGATGGAATTATTACTATTATTATTAACACCTCAGGACATACTTTAGTTCTGTCAACTCATTTTGGCCCTTAACATGTAGGTTCTAATTCAATAAAACCAGCTTTCAAAAGCTAATACTTAGCAAAGTTACATCAAATGCCTCTTTTTGAGGGAATAAAAAAGATTTAGTTTAGGCACAAACCAAACCCTATGAACTGCATCAATTGTTTACAATCTCATGTGACACACAAGCCCTCTGAACAGTTAAAGTCATTGGATGATTAATTAATTACCATATGTAAACAGCAGCAGCTGAATTCATTCCTAATCAAATCACTTATCCCATGATTTTCTACAAATAAAACTTGTACAATTCTTTGACGCATATCTTTTATTTTATTCTGTTAAAAAATAATCTACGAGCACAAGTCGAGACAGAAGGCTGAGAGATTTGTTTCCAATCACAAGCTCGAGAGAACCATGTAAACAAAAATCAAGGCATTACCATGCAAATATTAAGGCGATTAAGCAAATGTCGGAAAAAAAATATTTCCAAAACCATGGAAAAAAACTGGAATTTGGCCTGGCAATGCGAAAATTTGAAAAAAATCCCAAACAGAAATTTGATACACATAGGATTTATTCCGCACTGTTTTTGTAGACTGCTTGTTAGAGGCGTTTATTATTTTGCGGTGTTTTAGGGTAACCAGTGTACTAGATATTTCCTTAACATTACGGCATCATTCGCGCAAACTCGCCAATTGGGCCCGAAAACACCTTGACATCTCTTAAATGTCGTTCAGTCGACTTTCACCCTTACAACACAAGGTTTGATGAAAGTAATATAACGGATATTATCCATTTATGAAGGACACCACAGACCGATAACGCAAAAACATGCCTAAAAGGTTAGCTATTCACTCTAACTGCATTGCACTACTTTGAGTTTCTATTTTTCTTAGCTGAAATAGTCGTCTTTGGAAAGTGAGGACTACAGTATCTCCTACGCACACATATAAAACAACTTAAGCGCAATTAAAAGTCCTTTTCTCTTGAGATAATAGCGAAAGTAAGACAACTTACAATTAAAAAGACATTCCATGTGAACATAACCCATACCTCCGCCTAAGCTCTATTTATTCTACCCCTCAAAAAATGATCTGAACGGTGTCAGCTGAAGCACATGAACTGCGTTCGAAGGATACGGCCCTCACCAAACAGTTTCGAAATACCCCCGAATATTTCACTAAAAGGTGACCTCTTTGGCTCACAAAGCTTTGTAGCACTAGTCCGAGGTCACAAGTAGTTCTTCCCCCAGCCGTGACCTTTATATTGATTCTTTGACCCGAAAAGAGACGAAGACAAAAGCCAAATTTACTTACCGGACGTGTCAGCCATTCTTGAATAAATTACTCATGCCCCCGCCTCCGCTACTCCTAGAACACAGGTCTCTTCGTGCGCGTGCCACGAAATTACTATATCCATAAATTTGGGGCCAATTAAGAAATAACGATAATCGTAATTTCGGTCTCGAGATCATGCTGGGATCGACAAATCCTCGTTATTTGAATCCAGCGAGACAGAACGAAAGCCGGTGATCTGGGAATAAGACTTTTCAGCGGATGCTACATAAAACTATTTGAGAATGCGCGTTAGTCCAGAAAATCCAATATGGCGGATTGATTAACCATCAAAACATTTGAATCCCCTTTGCGTTTATAAAGCACACATCTGGTTTTTCCCGTCGTGTGACACAGCGAGATGGAAGACGAGGACCTGGAAGAAATGCGAGCGCTGAGAGGTAAAAGTTATAAGAAGAATGTTTACAAATTTCAGGCATCACTTCCATCAGCTTTGATTGAGGTCGAAGCGCATGAAATTCGAAATTTCAGCTTCATATAGTTCTTTCAGAAACTTTTTGTGACATATTCAAATATCGAGGGTACAATGGCGACTAGGAGTCATCAATTCGTTGATAACTCTAAAATGAGCTGTCACTCAAATACGTTTTACTCTTGTTTTGTTGCTAGCCTCTTCCAAATACAACCAGTCAAACTCAGTTGCTCACATTTTTCGCCCCTCACGGAGCCGAGAGCAAGACAGGAGCGAGAAAATCACGCGCACTTCAGGAGAATCAACACGAGCAACATCAACAGAGCCTTTGGCTGTATCATTCAAGGGTGGAGGTACAGAGGGTTCCATGACAAATTGAATTTTTTTACTTTTTTTGCGTACGCTGCAGAGCTTTCAGATAAATATGGTTAAAAATCATACAGTATTTGAAAGGAAGAACCTTGCGGTTATCCCTATAGAAAGGGCCTTCTTTATTCTGAACAAGAATTTCTACTGTTGGAAGTAGGTACAAAGAAAAAAAAGTGAAACTATAGTTACGAGGATGATTGATTTTATAGGTAAATTAACCAAAGCAGTAGTTTGCTTCCTCAAAATCAACTGTTTAAATCAGAAACCTTGAATGTGTGGCAAATGATAGTTTCAGCATGAGAGTGGTGAATTAAATTTGTTTGCGTGAGTCTCAAGCTCAAAACATCAAATTTGAGAGCTCTGATGATATGGCTAAATGCCCAAACTTCAAAAGTAGTACTGTTGTAATTGTGGTTTGTTTGTTTGTTTTTTTTTTTTTTAAAGCTGACTTAAGAAAGGAAAGTGAAACTTCAGATTCAATGGAGGCCCTGATGGGGTTTTCAGGTTTTGGTAAGTTATTTTTATTATTGATATGAAATGAAAAGTGTTGATGTTTGGTGGTTACAAAATTTTATACCCCTGTGCAGCTGTAGTGTATTGCGTTACCTAAGCGTTACTATAGTCACGCTATATCCTGTAAGACACGATCGGTACATGATTGTAAAAGTACATTCCTATGTAAAAGTAGTATTACTGATTCCTAGTACTGTATTGTGAATATAGCTTGTTGATTCTTTAATAAAATTCAGTTGAGCAATAGCAATGAAAGAAGTAACTTGACTGAGTCTAGACGACACAACAGCAGCCATGTAACATTCTCTATTTAACTTTTCAGGAGTAAACTCCCATCAATGTATCACTTTGATCTTCAATGGAAATCTCATCTTCTGAGTACTTTTTGTATCCCAAGCTATTTGCTTTAGCTAGAAAATCAAGATAAATTTAGTCCTTTTACTCCAAATATCTCATTAGTAATTCTCTTTACTGTCTGCCATGTAATTTTTAAAATATTGGTTTGGAGAGCTATTTTGGTATTGGATCAACTTATAATACCCTAATTGATATTTTTCTTTATTCTCATCACTTGTTTGCTTAATATTGTCTGGACATTGTAAGGAAAAATTTTGTCTTGGTCACTCTTGGGAGGAATCTAACAAGAAAGACTCTGGGTTGAATAATTATTTGTTTTTATCTGTATAGAGAGATAACAGAGCCAAGAATAATTACAGTATATGATTTATGATAACAGTATTATTTGAAGCAGTGGGAATCTAGTGAAAAAGAAAAAAAATGGAAGGCTTCTCTGTCAGCCTGAAATGATAATTGATGAGTAAAACGCTGCATGTAAATGTAGAATAGTTTGTACTTTTCATTACATGTGCTTGAACTTTTAGGAAAAAAGGCAGCAAAACAATTTAATGTGGATGATATGTTTGAAAAGGCAAGACGAACAGCCAAGGAAATGTCAATTAGTAGACAAAAAGGTACAGTATAATGGCTCGGACAGTATTATTATGAATCATTAATAATGATCTAATGTTTTTATCTAATGGTCAATCCAATGCTTTCTTATTTTACCACCTCAATAATCTCATTATCAAATTACTAAATTACAATTTTCATGGACTAACCCCACTCCTAATTATTTGTATTTTCACTACTGTACAGTGTAGGTAAAATAACTAAAATTACAGCCTGGGCCAACTTTAAATATTCTATGTTTTTCTTGCATTTAGACTCATTGATGGAAACTGTCAATGGTGACGATGAACCTGCTCCCTTTGTCATCATGCCACCATCATCTAATAATATTGAGGTAAAAGGACTACATTGGAAATTTATCAATGGCAGTCAGTACTAATTATAGGAGTGATTTGAACTCGTGGTCAAGGTAAAGAATTAGAAGACTAGGTGTTGACACAAGAAACAGAAGAGGTTAATGTTTGCACTTTATATTAACAAAAAGTCAAAAATTCTGGTCTGCTCTTCTCCTGGTAATGTTCGTGTTAATTGCACAGTTATCCTTGTTACACCTCGTTACACCTCATTACACCAAAGGGTGTATTTAAATGTTTCTGAATCCTCTCTGGGTTAGTTCCAGTCCTTGCATAAATAAATTCTTAATTGGGAAAATCAAGGAGAGACATAGTGCTTAATGGTAAGTGCACTAGACTCCAGGTCAAGAGGTCTGAGGTTGAGACCTAGCCAGGTCAATGTGTCGTGTTCTTGAGCAAAATACTTTACTTTAACAATGGCTCTCTCCACCTAGGAGAATAAATGGGTGATGGCTAACTGTCAGGAAAGCCTGAAATGAAATGTTGGGGTAAGCTTGCAATGAACAAGCATCCCATTTAGGGGGAGGGTAGTAATACTCCTAGTTGCTTTATGCTAAGGAAACTGGGATGAGGTGCAGTTGAGTGGGCCACTAGGCTCAAGTACAGACTCTACCTTTTTGCCCTCTACCAATAATCAGGTAGTTAGTCATTTATTTTATCAGTTATAATAAAGATGATGTGATGTGCTGAAACAAAACACTTTTGTTAATAATTAAAAGCCTTTTTCGTAGAAACCAGACGGAAACAAGCACAAAGACCATGATGATGATGATGATGATGATTATGATAATAGTGATGATGAACCTGATGAAGAGGTAATTCAGTTATAAAGTCCATCTGGAGGATGAGTTTATATCACAAACATAATAGCTATTTCACCTCTGTTACACATTGCTGTTGTTCTATACACAAGTATTTCTCAACCTTTTTATGTTTAATACATGAATACATGTTAGTAATGTGAATCTGAAAGTACTACATGTTGTGGTGTAAAATACCTTTTATGGACTTGTGACTCACACTCAAGTCTGATATGAGTTGAAAATAATTACTGTAACTTGAAGCAGCTTGTTATATGACTTAATCTGTGACCAACCTTTGATAGATAAATAGTAATTGTTGCTCTAAAGTGCATTCCAACTGTTTTAATGTACCTGGCACTTACATTATTAGCTTTTATTATATTGCTGCAATGCCTGTGGGCAATATGAAGAGAATCCTGTTCTGATTGGCTACCTGAACAAGTAAGATGGGTCCCTCTTGCCTGCTCGGGATTGCCAGCTTTGATACTGCACAATAAAAATTTACGTGGAGTGGACTTAAAAAATCCCACAAACAGTCAAAATAAAGAAACATAAACGACTCTTGTGGGTTTATTGACAAAGTTGGCTTTCTTTCCTGCCTCTGGAAATAAACAAGTCATTCTTGATTCTTAGTAAAGCAATATTTTTTTGCTATTAAACAAAACATTATTTGCTGAGCTTGTTAAGTCAAGATTGCTGGATGTAAGCCTCGTGCTTTTTGTGTGATTTATAAACCTGGTCTTTGTCTCAGTCTATAAAAATGCAAAAAAAAAAGAACTTGGCCAATATTCAGCCATCTTGGCCTCACACTTGATCAATAATGGGTATACCACTGATAGTTATTTCCATGTGCCCTTTCCTTTTTGTCCTTAGAGCATTGAGAAAAGGATACCTATCAGTCATGAAATTTCACTAGACCATGGAAACAAAACAGTTGAGTTGTCTTAATGTTAATTATTAGTATCTTAAATTACCATGTAATTCCTGTTCAAATTATCAGTGCTCCAGTGTATCTGGATTTTGAGTTGTGTTGCTTTGTATTGTGACATCATTATACATAGAAAGAGGTCCGATTCCAAGGAAGAGTTCTGTCTTTTGAGAGTAATGAGAGATTTATTTTGACCAGATTAGGCTGATACTCAAAGAACTATCATGCCAATCCTTCCATACAAATGAGAAGTGATAATTTTTGCAGTGTGGGGCCAACATAGTGGTAAAAATTATTTAAACTCAAAAACCACCAAGATCTGATTGTTAATTCTCCCCTCTAGCTGCCTCTCATTTCCTTGTAATATAATAATGAAAATTTGGTGCTAGATCAAGATAACAATTTCAGTCACTGAAACACTGTACTGAAGCAAGACCAATGAAATTCCTTACTACTTTTGACACTCAGTTGAAATTTCTCAATCTTGCTGTCTTAGGTCTCTGCCCTTGCTCTGGATCCATCAGGATCACCAAGATCTGATTGTTAATTCTCCCCTCTAGCTGCCTCTCATTTCCTTGTAATATAATAATGAAAATTTGGTGCTAGATCAAGATAACAATTTCAGTCACTGAAACACTGTACTGAAGCAAGACCAATGAAATTCCTTACTACTTTTGACACTCAGTTGAAATTTCTCGATCTTGCTGTCTTAGGTCTCTGCCCTTGCTCTGGATCCATCAGGATCACGCCTTGTGACTGGAGGTTATGATTATGAGGTACTGTAACAAAAACTTGAATTGTGACTGCACCTGCCCATGTATATGTTGACTGATTGTTAAACTGATAACTTGGGTTGTGATTAACTAACTTCTATGGTTAAAAATGTAGCATTTGCTTGTTTTTGTAAAACACTCTTTTATTCATTAAAGTATCTGATTTAGATTAGTGAATAAAGGGGGTAAGTTTCTAAAGAAACTGTGGTGCTGCATCAGTAGGAGAGTATAACAGGGTAATTTAGTGTTATCAACTGAGTTGATAATGTAAATTGGCCTCTATAAAGAGTTTTGAAGCTGATGTTTTGAGTGTTAGCCCTTCATCATTCCCTCTGTCAAAGGGCTGATGCTTGAAACGTCAGCTTTCAAACTCTTTATGGTGGTCAATTTACCTTATCAAGTCATTTGATAATACTTAATTGCCCTGGTTAAGAGAAGGGTCAGGATAAGATCTGTGGTCTCATGATGAGTCTGACCTTGATTAATTGTTAGTGTCTGTTGTTCATTTCAGGTAAAGTTTTGGGATTTTAATGCCATGGATGCTTCTCGTCGTGCCTTTAGAACTCTGCAGCCTTTTGAGTGTCATCAGATCAAGTCAATACAATACAGTATCACTGGAGATGTCATTTTAGTTGCTTCTGGAAATGCTCAGGTAAATTGGTTATGCTGTATTGCAGCCATTAGGCCACAAGTTTCTTTTAGAGAAATGGAGATATTTCTTCTTTTAGAAAACGTGCTTAACTTTCCCTTCAACTAGTTCTATAAAATTGTCAACCAAAGAAAAATTTGAATTAGGGCAGATTCATTGATGGTATAATTAAAGACTAGAATACAGAATAATAAACATGCAAGATTTTCAGGATGTTGATGGGCTTTGATCAGATGATTGAATTTGGGTAAAAAGAGTATAAATTCACTCTTTAATAGCCCCTAAGAGTGACAAGCTTATAGTTTTTTTTTTTTTATCACCACTTGATGAATCTTTAACCCTTTAACTCCCAAGATCTAATTGTAAATTCTTCCCTCTAGCTGCTACACATCTCCTTGTAAATCAATAATGAAAATTTGGTGTTAGATCAAGATAACAAACTCCACTGCATTAATTTGGCATTCTCATTACCTGTTTGCTGGAAAATGCATGGATATTATAGGGAGAAGTTACATGCTGATCACTTCTGTAAGTGATTAACAAGTAACTTAAAATAATTTGATTACCAGTTCAAGTTATGTTTTAATTTCAGGCAAAGGTGATTGACAGAGATGGGTTTGATGTCCTTGAATGTGTAAAAGGGGATCAGTATATTGTCGACATGGCGAAGACCAAAGTACATTTATGCATTTGTGTTTGTTTGTTTTTTTAATTTATGAATGATTCTTAGCCCTTTTTAACCCTTTAACTCCCAGATCAAATTTTGTTATTCTCCTCATTTTCAACCACACAATTCTTACAGTGTTAGTTCAGAGAATTTATTATTGGATCACCTAATTATCCCCAAATTGATATTTTTCTCTATTCTCATCACTTATCTGGTTGATATTGTATTGATATTGTAAGGAGAAATTCTGTCTTGGTCACTCATGGGAGTTAAAGGGTTAACCTAAAGTCTGAAAGCTGATTCTCTTCATGAAGAAAAGGCATGTCTTTGTTGGTCATTCATATGAATTTGGGTTATAATGTAACATTTTTTTCAAAATGATGGTCTGCCTAACCATGTATGAAAATTTCAAGGAAAATTCATTGATTTATTGTTTCTAGGAGTTAGAATGTTTATGGCTCATGTATTCATTCAACATGAAATCAAGTATATAAGAAAGATTAATTGGGAGCAGAAATGATAACATTTATTTTAGTTACCAGTATGCCTAAATTATCTTTTCAAATTTGTATATGATGATGTCTAATGCAAAATTTTTTAAAATTTATTGCTATTTTTCCTTTTCTTTTTCCCAAACCATAACACTAGGTGTTTTTTAATTACTTTCATACCACTGACAGTTTGCACATGTGATGATCATAGAAAAAACACAAAAATTTTCTGAGGGCCTTAAACATGGCGAAACTAACTTATTATGGGCACCTTTTCGATGATATTTGATAATTTCTTTTTCATATACATGTACACTATATGTCACTCTTACTTTTCGTAGGGACATGTTGCAATGTTGAACAATGCATGCTGGAATCCAAAGGTCAAAGATGAATTCATCACATGCAGCAATGATGGGTTTGTGAAAAGTCTTTGTTTTGCTGTTTATGTTTAACACATAGATCCAGATCTGAGTTTTTTTTCCATTTTTTTTTTCAATTTGACCACCGATGTCATGCATTCAAGTTAAAGGGAGATGGAAAAGATGCACATTTCCCCTTTTGATCATGGTGAACATGCATAGAAAGTAGCAATAGTTTTGATATTACTTTTAATACTGCTCCTTTGTAGTGTGATTCTTGATAGACACATTGGAAATTGTTTTTGGAAGTTCTCACCTAATACCCCTCATCAAGTTAGGAATGACAGTTTGTTCAATTTTCTGCTGTCCCTTTTACTCTACATTAATGCCATGCGTGTGTGTCTGTTCTTATGAAGCTATTTCCTCAAAAATTCTTTGTTTTACAGGACTGTCAGAATATGGAACACAGAAAATCCTAAGAAAAATAAAACTGTTATCAAGACCAAGAACAAACAAGGTGAGAAAGTCCTGCGCTTACTAGACTACGACGAAGACTACGACGAAGTCTTCGGCGAAGTCTGTCGCGCGAGTCATTTTTCGTGTATCTCACCGCAAAGTTCCGCGCAACGCCTACCATTTTTTTTTTCACCGATTTCTTTTGACTCGGAGGGACGGACTACTGGCAGTCTATGGGCTTACAGTGCCTGCTATTTGTCTCTGCAGCAAAGAGTATCGGTAGTTTTCTTTAAAATGCACGTTTTGTTGCAACATCTGTTTTTACGCAGGGAAGAAGACAATTCCGACGCATTGTTGCTTTAGCAAAGATGGACGGATAATTGCTGCTGCGTGTCAGGTGAGCTGTGACTACCACATATACGTAGAATAGCTGGACTGTGAACAGTTTCTCTTGTTTGTGAATAGAAATTAAGGAAACTGAGCACAGACGTTTCCGAGATGCAAACGGCAGCTGCTAATATAACGTTACTCCTTCTGCAGCGATTTGACATCAAGCAATCCTCCAAAAGCCAGAAACAAAAGATCTAGGCCATGTTCCATGGAACGGAACATTGAACTTCGTTTGGTGTTCGTTTCCCATGAACGTCTTTGTTTAACCCTTTACACTCTAACATCAGTATGCATATTCTCCATACATTTCCTAAGGTGCTGACAAGGAGAATTTGTTCAACAATCTAGAGCTACTATCATTGATGATCATTTCCTTTTTTCTTGTGGCCTTAATTAGTGATTTAGGGGGTGATATTGTAAGGAGAAATTAGATGCTGGTCACTCTCAAGTGTTAAAGGGTTAAGGCTCTACACTGATAAGCCCCCTCTGGTGAAGGTAAAGTTTGCCAACGGGCCTGACTTACGCAGAGCTATTTCCGATTGGGTGTTGATAATCCAGGATTTGTTGGGTTTTGCTTTACGTCGCCTTGAGATTGGTCCAAAGACTAGCGCCACTTTCTCAACCAATCAGATCTCAAACTATAACCGACAGCGGCCTAGTCACTCGCATTTTCCCGCCTTAGGAACGGTTTTCTTTTAACACTGAATTCTTATTGGCTCCCTATATTTCCCTTTGCTTTAATTGGCTATTTTGAGCACTTTGGATTTAGTTTTACGACACACTACTTTCTGTACCACAATGGGTAGTATTGCTGCTCTGCAAGAGTGGTATGCTTGTCTATCGCAGACTACCACTAACATTTCGTCACAGTTTTCTGCCAATTCGCACCATTTACCCGTCTACACTCCCACAGGGGTTTTAATTACTTTTTCCATAAATGGTTGCCTATGGTTTCATTAACGGCCTGTGTTCGTAAAAGGGAAGATAAAGCGAAATCCAAGCTTTAGCCGAAATGGGCCCTTGACAATAAAGTCAGGGTCTTACCTGAGAACATAACGCAGTGGGCCGGTTATCAAGATGAAGTTAAGCCGTTGTTCAACAAGACCGCGTTCTAAGCCATCCTCGATTTAGCCGAACCCATTATCTGAACATTTATTTTCATGAACAGTATTAAGAGAGCCGAAAGCTAATAGTGAAAGGACATTTGTTTTAAATAAATCAACCCTCTTGTAGAGAATCCCTGATCATGAGGTCCACTGATCACGTAAAACCGGTGTTTGGGTTAGACCTGGTGTAAATAACCTGCCCAATGACTTTTTGTTCAGTCAGAGTCCAGCTCACCAATCGTTTGGCCTCTACATCTCCTGGCAATTGCCTAAAGAAAGCATTAGTTGCACTGGCGAAGGATGAGCTTTTACGCGTCTATCACTGCATTGTAAATGAAAACAACAATAACAACAGCTATCTCTGGTTTATTTTTTTGTTTGTTTTTTTTTTCCTTAGGATGGCTCCATTCAAGCGTGGGATACCAGAAAACCCTTTGTAAGTCTCCGTTTTTTCCTTGCTATGATGATACCATTTCCTCTGCCTCTATAGGAGTGAAGCATGGTCATTCTCTGAATAGATGGTTTGAATACCAATCTGCAACAGAGCAATTGTAAGTTGAGAGTCGAAAGTAAGTCGGGATTGCATTAAGTTTCCTTTACTGCGCTCCATGATTGGTTCAAGTCATTGTGCATATTCTCCATACTGTTCTCTATACATTTCCTATGATGCTATCCTGGCCCCGGTCGTTCGAAGGGTGGATAACGCCATCCACTGGATAAATCTCTATCCGGTGGATAGCGCGGTACGTTTTGTTCACATTTACCCGCTGGATAGCGATTCATCCATAGAATAGCATTATCCGCCCTTTAAACTACTGGGCTCTGGAGCCTGAATTTGTTCACTTACCTAGAGCTTCATTCGTTGTTGATCACTTCCCTATTCTCGTGACCTTAATATTTGATTCAGCAGCGATACTGTAATGGAAATACACGCTGACTGTCATCTACTCTAAACATAAAGCATTTTTCTGAATATAAGTTTTACCTTAACAGATCCACACAACATACATTCAGCGAACTGCACATGCTCTGGGTAGCGACACGTCGTGTCTTTCCTTCTCCCATGAAGGAAACTCTTTGGCTTCCAGGGGAGGTGAGAGTAAGAAATGTGCAAAATGGAGCTTGCTGGCAAGGGGGAGGGAGCGGAGGGGAATTTGACCACGGTTCAACTTGATGACTTGGCGATTGAACTATCGAAAGCATCAATATTATCGTCACATTGACGTTGTTTTGTTGTCAAAAATTTTATCCCTTGTTTCCTATGCAAGAATAGACCACCTCCATCAGGATGTGGTAGCTTTTTAAAGCCCCATTATAAATTTTACCTTTGTAGGCTCTGAACCCTTCACGCACTAACATCAGTATGCATATTCTCCATACTGTTCCTCATACATTTCCTAAGGTGCTAACAAGGAGAATTTGTTAAACAATCAAGAGCTTCTGTTGTTAGTGATGATCTCCTTCATTCTCGTGACCTTAATGTGTGATTCAGGGGTGAGACCGTAAAGAGTAATTAGAAGCTAGTCACTCTTAGTTTCGAAGGGTTAAATAATGTTTCCGAGTAAAATATGTGGTTTTTATTCCAGCATTGTATCAGCTTGTCTCTGAATGGATTTTGTACTTGCTTTTTTGAGATCCCCTCCATAAAATGTGAATTTTGAAGATTATTACAGGAGGAATGCTTGACTGGTAGAAGTACCTTATCTTAAACACAATGCATCCATTACTTGATTGTATCCGATCCTTCATTTGGTTCTCCTTAAAAAGCTGACTTTAAATTATTGACTGCAGGTGACGATACTCTGAAAACTTGGGATCTGAGGAACTTCAAGGAATATCTCAATGTCGCCATGAATTTAACAAACTACTATCCACAGTAAGCCTTTATTATTAATTTCCAGTAAAATAAATGCTGTTTTTCGATGGGCTATTCAAGTGGGTGCAATTGGGCTTGTAGGGAAGGTGCCCCTTTCGAATGAGTGTAGACAGACTGGACCTAAAGTTATCACATTAGCCAAACATAACCAAGGTTAACATTAAAGGGCGTCGGTGACAGCTCGGGCTACCTCAAACGCGGGAAATCACTTGTAGACAAGACGATATTTTTTTTTTTTGCTTCTGGTTGTTCGAGTGTATGGCGCGAGTTTACTAGACCAATCACAAAGTGTGGTGAAGAAAAAAAAACCATTGCAATGCTGCTTCACTTTTTACGCTCATTTGTAAATTTCTCTCAGTTGATGAACTGATGTAATAAACCTCACGAATCAGCAAACTTAGGGGATTTTGTAAAATCCACTTTTTTTTTCTTGTTTCTTAGAACTTCATGTCTGTTTAGTCCGGATGACAAGTTGATAGTAACGGGAACATCTGTAAAGAAAGGACAGGTAAGTCCTTTTCGACGTTGTAATTCTTCAGTCTATGGGAGAAAACGACAACAACAACAGGCAAACAAATAAGCAAACCACACATGTTGAAGGATATAGAATGTGCTAACAAAGATAAAATCAGCTTATAGTGTCGATATATTTGTAAATATTATTGACATCCTAGCTGTTGCAGGCCCTCAGTGACTAGAGACGTTTGAAGGAGCTTGCACGCGACGAAAAGCAGTTGTGGTTGTCAGGAAAAACGGCAGTCCCATATCTATTTTTTCTTTGCCTGACCTTTGCTTTTTTTTTTTCCATTGGGCTTTATTTGCCCATTTGCTCTCACGAGAGTCCATAGAAATGTCTAAGTTGTTGCTCAAAAAAATAATGTAACCAGGTTCTCCTTTTGGTCATAGGGATCAGGTCAGCTGGTGTTCTTGGAAAGGGAGTCCTTGCGAAAACTGTACGAGTTTGATGTGATGGAGTCGGTAAGTTGCTGCTGTTTTTACTTTTACTTCGTGTGTCGTTTATAAGGTTTTTTTAATTGTTAAATTACGTTCCTACTCCCCTAGCTCAGCGTGTCAAATCTGTGCTGGCCCTCAAATGAATCATCGGGCCATAAAGCGGAATAATAAATTGTGGCAGACCTAGGAGCTAGGCTAACAGTAATTGGGTGGACTCTGTGTCAAGGTTCGAATCTTGGTTAGGGCTTAGATGGACTGTTATTCCATCTAGGAAAGGAGAGGGGGTTAAGAAGTGATTAACATGCGAGCCGGTGATGAGAATACCTAAACTCATCAGGTAGAAGTTTTTATCTTGATCTACATGTAACAACAAATTCTTGTAACTAATTTACAAGGAAACGTGTAGCAGTTGTTAGGGAGATTTAATGATCAGATCAAGGGAGTTAAAGGGTTAAGCTATTATGGGTAAAAAAAAGCGGAGATAATTTAAGCATCGAAATGTAACGTTTCTAAGTTGCTTTCTGTTTCGAAGAAAATTTGGTAATCTCTCAAACTGCAGCGAAATATTTAAGTATTCGAGCAGATTTTCATTGAGTGTCGAATGTCAGCCAGGATTGCGTTCCTTCTATTTCATGTCGCCTTGTGAGGGCTGTGGAAAACCCGCGTTACGTACTAAACCAGTCAGAAATAAAGATAAAACTAATCTTTACAAGGTCACACGATTTTTCCTTTGTGTCCAAAATTATTACTTGTTTTTACTTAAAGTTCTCATCCGCTCTTTGGTGATCTTTACCTTCGTTCTGATTTTCTTTCGTTTTCGATTTACAACATTCAATAGGAAGGCGCGCTAACAATCACTGTGTGTTTGGTTTTTCAGAGCGTCGTTAGCTGCTTATGGCACCCCAAGTTAAATCAGATTGTGGTCGGTTGTGGAAATGGAACTACCAAGGTATACTTTGACCCCGAGAAGAGCAACAAGTGAGTTTGCTTTAACTCTTTACACCCTAATATCAGTATGCATATTCTCCACACTGTTCTCTATACATTTCCTAAGTGCTGACAAGGAGAGTTAGCTTAACAATCCAGAGCTTCTGTAGTTGTTGATCACTTCCATTATTCTCATGACCCTAATGTTTGATTCAGAGGGGATATTGTAAGGAGAAATTAGATACTAATCACTCGTAGGGGTTAAAGGGTTAAATGATTGTTACGCTTTTATTTTCGTTGCTAACGTGTCTTGTGTTAGTAGTTCTTTACCGTATTACTTCTTAAAGTTGTTGTTCTCTTTGTTTATGATTTTTAAAGGGGAGCTAAACTTTGTGCTGGAAATGTGAAAAGAAAAGTCGCTTCTAAAGAGATGCCATTGAAAGATCACATTATCACTCGTGAGTATAATTCTGTGCATTTTTTTCCATTTGAGGATTAAAGAGATTCCAATGAAAACACAAAATTGATGAAATGTGATTCCACGTTCCTAATTTTTGACTAAGTTGGCTAATTTTAACCGATACTGAAATTACAATGTCTTTTGTCTTGTTTTGTAGCACATTCATTACCTATGTTCCGCGAAAAGCGATTCAAGAATAAGAAGAAGTTGAAAGAAGCAGATCGGAAGGACCCCGTCAGGTCACACAGACCGGATTTGCCAGTCACTGGCCCAGGTGAGCGTTTAGTTTCATTGATTGAATTCAAAAGGCCAACCACAGCTAAGGTAAATACAGCAGGAGAACCAATGAAGACCCTTGTGACGTGCCTTGAGTGCGAGAAAACGTGATCAACGATGTTTTAATTGGTTATGCTTCTTTTGCACCTGATTGGTTTACAGGGTGGCTTGAGATTTCTAGACCTATCGCAGAGTGTGGTAAAGCAAAACCAAAGCAGTTTTAGATTAGATTGGGCACGCAACTGGATGATGCTCCATAGGGGACTGAAGTTTTGATAACAACTATGTATTTTGATAAAACTAGCCTCTAAACCTGCGTAGGAAGTATTTGAGCACAGATGAGTGTAAAATATCTGCTTATTTTTATAAAATGTCAGCTAATTGATGCTGTGGCTTTTTTTCCAGGCCATGGTGGCAGAGTTACATCTGGTATGTCATTGTCAGCTTATGTGGTGAAAAGCATGGCACTGGAGATGAAAGATGATTCGCATCCTCGTGAGGCCATCCTCAAACACGCAAAGGTATACAGTGTAGCTGTGGTGTGTTCATTCTTTGTCAGTCAGCTCACTTTCCGTTCTGCATGTTTCCTTGCCTAAATGCACCTTTATGTCCGCCTGTCTGTCGCTTGGTCTGTCGATCTTTTAACCTCTGTCTTTTTGTTTTTATATACTAGTTTATTAACGCCTGTCTTTGTCTGACTGTCTGCATACATGGCTTTCTGTATCTGTCTTTCTGCACAACTGTTTTCGTCACTTGAATGTTCTGGTTTTCTGTCTCTCTTTGTGATTGTCTGGTTCTATTCCACTGTCCGTCTGTCTGTCAGTGTCCGTCGGTCTAATTTGTCTGTTTCTCTGCCCCTGTTACTCTTGCCTGCCCACCTGCCTGACTACCTGGTGTCTGTCTGTCTGCCTGCCCGACTGCTTGGTGTCTGACTGTATGTATGTATGTATGTATGTATGTATGTATGTAGGGAGGTAAGTCAGTCGGTGTTTGCGTCTGTCTCACCGGCATCATATTTTTCTTTTCTCAGGCTGCCGCAGAAGATCCTTACTGGGTGTCACCAGCATATGCACAGTAAGTTTGATACACCTTGAGCCATTGGCTCCTGTTTAGACTAAGTTTCGGCGCAATTATCGAACATGGATGTCAAAATTAGGCCAGCTCAGCTGTTTATTTTTAATAATGTACCAAGTACGAAGAGTGATGTTTGGGGTTTTTTTGTCTCGTCGTAAGCTGGACTCTTGGCTCTCACAGTGTTGTGGATCTCATTAATTATCTTTCAGTGTCTTCTTAAAGGCCTGACTTTCTTTTTTTCCTTTCAGTACCCAACCCAGAACTGTCTTCCAAGAAGAAGAGGAAGATGACGAAGATGAAGAAGAATCTCAAAGAAAAAAGATGAAATTATTGTAGGATATGAAATGGAGGCAGGAATAAAACAGCGGTGAGGGACTGGGCCCATCTCCTGATGTTATGAAAAATAAATCTCCTTTTTGGGGAGGGGACGGTTTTGATTATGACAGCCATATGAGTAACACAAACAAACAAAAATCGTATTTGAGATTTATACGCTATTACAAATGCCAATAAAGTTAAGAGGACCATTCAACGTGTGTTTGCCATGATCTCTCTTTCGTACCACAATCAAAGGCTTGCTGAAGTTTTAAATCGGGGGTTGTTTGCTCTTTTGGGACATAAAATTCTTCATAACAAATTTGCGAGAGACCGAAGAGCGACGTGTGTATTTTCGTGCTGCCCTTGTCCACAGATATTGACTGGAACCAAATACATTTACTGCAAAGTCGCACGGCAATATCTCCGTTGTCGCTAACGTCTTTACTCCTTTCAAAACCAGAGTAAGCTGCGAACCAGACGAATATTTGAAATCCACAATGGTGTAGATGCCCTTATTAGCTCACAAACGGTTTGAGAGGAGAAATTCAGCTAAGCTCTTAATCCCTGTTGTTATGGTGACAGTGACTTAATCTAGCGGAAGTAATGAGGAATTGTTTGTCTGTCGAGTTGGCGAAAACTGATTGTTATGTCTCCGTGTGATTTATTACCGGATGTGTAGCCCAAGTAACTTACGTAAATTGTTTAAGCTCAGCAAAGAAATTACGAGACACTCCGTTCCTTTAGCGAGTAAAAAATCAGTTTAGATAACTTAGTCGAATAGTTCCTTTCTTTGAGCAAATCCACTTTCGAACTACAGAGGGGTAACTGAAGTATCAAATATGTCTCAGAGGAACTTTTAAGAAGGTATCCTTTCTCGGAAACAGATAATGTTGTGATAGGCCACTTAAAAACGAGAAAAATTGAATAGCACCGGATTTATACATTCTTCTACCGAAGGATTCATGATTCCAGTACGCTCGTGCGACTCTCGCATCTGATTCACAACTCACAATATTGACCTCGTGTTGAAGTGGTGGGATGAAATATTTTTTCAACCGCTTTTTTGAAGATTCAGATCTAAACACTGCACTTAAATCGAGTGCAGATTACTAGGTGTATGTGGAAAAATAATATTGAGATTCATTTGCTGTGTTGTTTATTGTTGTATAACAGTGTCCCTTTGTTTATTTCCAGCGTTTTCCGGGAAATATTGCTGAAAGGCGCCTTGAACATTAACTGCTAGAGGATTATGGGAGCCCTATGCGGAAATGTGACGCCGGTACAGAGAGTTACAAGTGATGTGTTAGCTCTGTGAGCAGTATTCCACGAACAAATCGCCACAAAAATCACTTTTTTAAACATTGAGAATGCCTCCAGGACTACGGCGCAATTTCTGGGACGATTACGAGCCCGCATCGCTGGTAAATGTAGACTGTTTCTTACCAACAGGAGTCGTGATTCAGTTACAAGTTCGCATCGAAGCTCCGTTGTCAGAGATTAAAAATCGACTATGGAGAGAAGCCAGCTCTTATCCCTTGTTTAATTTTCTCAAAGATGCTGCGAATTACATATTTGTGTGCGTGAATCAGAGAGGAAAGCAGGAGGAACTACTGGATGAAACTCGCCAGCTAATCGACGTGCGTCCTTTTAGACCCTTGCTGAAGCTCGTACAAAAACAAGGTGACAACGAGGAAAAACTCTTCGACTCCCACATTGGCAACCTCATCGGTAAGAGCTTGCACGAGTTCGATCAAATGCAGAACACAGAAGTGGACGATTTCCGTCGAAAGTATCGGCAGTTTGCCGAGAAAATCGCTTGTGAGAGGCGTCAACTTGACTGGATTGGACGAGCTATGTATGCGTACCCTCCCGAAGTCGAAAGCACTGATCCACCAGAACGGATCGAAGAGAAATTAATGGAGAACAGGCGTTTCTTGGTAAATGTGGCCATCAAGAACAACAGGGCCTCAATAAAAGACATGCATGCATTTAATGTTCCTGCTGATGCATATCCAGACGAGCTTCTGGTATTGGTATTGAGGAAAAGAGGTGCAATCATGGGGGTCTTAGATCTCGACAAACCGAGTGATTACGTACTGAAGATTGTTGGACAAGAAAGCTACCTACTAGGAAATTATCCGTTATTGCAGTACACGGTATGTTGAGGATGAAGTGCTACTTGTATGCTATATACAAAGTGTATGTGTGTATTGGACAATCCTTTTTTTCCTTTTAACCCTGTACACCCAGACATCGGTGTGCATGTTCTTCATACTGGTCACCATGCATTTTCTAAGGTGCCAACATGGAAAATTTGTGTAACGTGCAAGGGAATCTGGTCGTTTCGATCCAAGTCGTTCTGATACAAGTGGAAGTCGATTTGTTACTTGTGTAAAGTCGATTCGATACAAACTCAAGTTACTTCAAGTCGTTTTGATACAGAATACTACACTATATATAAATGACCAAACAAACCTTCAAAGACATGCTCACTAGACCACCAGAGCAAAGACAAACCTCTGTTGTAAATAAAACAAGTGGAAGTCGATTTGTTACTTGTGTAAAGTCGATTCGATACAAACTCAAGTTACTTCAAGTCGTTTCGATACAGAATACTTAACTATATAAAAATGACCAAACAAACCTTCAAAGACATGCTCACTAGACTACCAGAGTGAACACAAACCTCTGTTGTAAATAAAACAAACCCATACCTCCATGAGCCTCCACACATACCCAAGTCTCTTACACACTGAGAACATGCAAATGAGACCAAGTTTTGATTAAGTTTATTTATCGAGAACAGAGATTTATTTATTTATTTGTTGAATAGAAAACAACAAATCACCACACATATCAAAGACAAAAACTAACACACTTATACTGAACTTTTCTCAAGTTTATTTCTGTATTGAAATGACTTCAGTTTGTATCAAATCGACTTTATAAGTGTAACGAATCAACCTCAACCTGTATCAAAACAACTTGAATCAAAACGACTTTGTATTGAAACAACTGTTAACCCTATTTTTGGTGATCATTTCCTTTATTCCAATGAGCGTAATGTTTGATTCAGGGGTGATTTTATATGGAGAAATTAGATGCTAGTCACCAGCTTAGAGGAGAGAGGGTTAACCTGCACCTTTTCCTGCACCTATAGAAGGGAAGGTTCACAAAGGCAGTCTGTCTGAGATATTAGTCCAAACAGTCCTTATACATCTGGGCCCACTTGTTTTAAGGCTGATTAGCGCTAACCAGGGTTAAATTTTAATCTGGGTCTCTATTCCTTCACTCAAAAGCCTTTTCAGGATAATTTTCAGTGTTCTTTTTAAAGCATCAAATAGTCATATTCTAAAAAAAAGAATTTGACTGAATTTTCTTTTAAAGCTTCTAGATCTGAGATCAGATTTCACAGTAACCCTGGGTTATCTTAACCAAGCTTTGAACAACCCGGCCCTGAAGTAAAGATTCTGTTAGGCTCTCTGAGGTAAACAACAATATATTTTACCCATGAAATATTATGATTATATTTGTTTGTTTTCAGTACATTCGCACTTGTGTATCCAAAGGAATCAGGCCAATGCTTTCACTAGTGCTTCGTTCATCACTTCAAGTAGAGGTGCTTGATGTTAAGGATTTAAGTCGCAGAAGTCTAGGTGGCAGAGCACCACCTCTACCTACAAAGCCACAGACAACAAGCTTGTCACTGTGGAATATTGAAAATCAAGTTAAAATCAAGATTGCTTCAGCCACAAATGTGAATGCAGGAGACCTAATGAGGGTAGGTGAACTCTTTTATAAGCTAGTGTAACCTTTCTGCTGCTAAGATCTCACGAGTAATTTGCTGTTCCATCTGCAATACAGTTCTTAAGATGTTGGTGTGGAGAATTTTGGTATTGGATCAACTATTAGTGACAATCCCCAAATAAATATTTTTCTTTATTCTCATCATTTGTCTACTTGACACTGTTTTAATATTGTAAGGAAAAATTCAGTCTTGGTCACTTGTGTGAGTTAAAGAGTTATATTCCTTCTAGTGTGGCCTATCAGACAGGGATTATTGTGTTGCATTTTTTGGGCCATCAGAGGCTAGGCAAGAACAAAGAGAACACAAAGAGTGAGACAAATGCAAGGAGGAGTGCATCATTTTCTTTTAATGCTCCTCATCTTGATTGGGTCTTGCTCCAGGCTCTCTCTTTTACTGACCTCAAAAAAATTCAAGAAAATGATGCCTATCCCATGGGGCATATTGAGCAAGGTGACTGTTGCTTTCTTTGCAGGAAATATTTTTGCAAGAGTGGAAGTGTAAAATTTTGCAACAGTTATTCAATAAATTGGTAATCAATAATTACTTCCAGGCTCAAACCATGACACTATTTTTTGAAACAAGGTATAAGATATGAGTTTGATTTGTTGTCTGCCATGCCTATTCAGGTTGGTGTCCGAGCAGGTATCTATCATGGGGGAGAGGCATTGTGCGACATCAAATCCACAAGGGCAGAGAGTGGATCAAATCCAACATGGAATCAGTTCTTGGACTTTGATTTAAAAGTGGCAGATATTCCTCGAATGGCTCGCTTGTGCCTTGTGATTTATGGCGTAACCAACAATCCTCAGAAGAAGTCAAAAAAGAAGAAGGAGGTTCAGTATTACATAGGGATATCAACTCAAAGAGCATTGTTCAATTGCATGTCACAAGAAATCTCTAGTATTTCTTAAGTGTTGCCATAGTTTACTTTATGATTGGTCCAAAAAACTAGCATGGCTTTCACAGCCAATCAGATTCAAAACTAAAACAAATTACAACTTGGTCACTTGAAGAAGTCTGCTTGTTTTTTGTTTGAGTTGCTATTAGATCCTTGTGATACTTTCCTTTGTTCTGATAGATATTTTGCTGTTTTGGTTTCATAGTGCTTAATTGAAAATTGCTCTAAAAGTAGCTTTGAATGTATGGACTAATGAATAGATGTCTCTCACAAACTAGCAAGAATATTTCTCACACAGTGGGGACAAAAGTTTTTGCAAACTAGACATTACAAGAATATTATATTGCAAAGATTTTTAGGTTAAAATTCAGTTTTGCTCTTGTTAAGATTGCTAGATTTTGCTTCGACTAGGATCAGTTTTTTTGCTTTCATTAGTTTTAGTTTGTTTCTGCTTTTGTCAGGATTAGTTTGTATTAGCTTTCATTAGGGTCAAATCAAATTTCTTGTCTAGTTAAGCAGCAAGTTTAATGTGAAAAAAAAGGGTTACTAAATAAACAAATGGCTGCAGGTATGAATATTGCTACAACTTATGTAAAGGCTGTTAACTTATGTAAAGGCTTTAATTTTTTTTTAGGAAACAATTCCTGTGGCATGGGTCAACACAACTCTATTTGATTACCAAGGTAAACTTCGGCAAGGTCCACTGAAACTCTTTGCATGGCCAGTACCTGAAACAATGGCTGACCAACTGAATCCTGTGGGCACAGTTGTTTCCAATATCGACACTGTAACCTCAGTGTCACTTGATATTGCTTTCTCAACTTACTCAGACCCAGTACTTTACCCATCATTTGACCAGGTAAGAGGTGGAACTTGATATGATGAAACTCTGAAGAGAGTGTGTGTCAGTGGAGTGTAAAAATAAAAAATTCAAGTGAACCAAGTTGGCTTTACTTTGCTTCTGATTGGTTGAAAGGGGTGATCACTTCATTAATAAAACAAAACCACTGCTATTACAATAAGCCTTTACAACTTTATATCAGTATGGATATTCCCTAATGTCAAGTACTCTTTTTCTGTCATACAAGGGGAATTGGTGAAAAAAGTCAATACTTTGACTAGTTGGGACAACCATTTCCCTTGTTCTCGTGAACTGATATTTGACTTAGGGATAAAATTGTCAGGAGAATTAGATGTAAGTCATTCTTTGGGATTAAGGGTTAAGTATATATATTTAACCCTTTAACTCCCACTAGTGACCAAGACAGGTAAGACACTGGTAAGATGTGGCTGTGAAAACAAATACAAAGAAGTAAGGGTTAAAATTACATTGCAGAATTACTGATTGAAAGGAAAGAAACGTAAGCCATCAAGTTGCCTACCATGTACAGTGTTTTTCCTTTGTTTTACATCATCTGCATTGTGTTTGCCTCACCCAATGACAAATTTGATGAGATCAATAGTCGATAAAGATCTAATTAGGTTTACAATATCTAGTCATGACTGGACTGTAATAACATTTTACAGTGTGCATTCTTCTATTCTTTGCACAGATTGCTGAGCTGGCAGCACAAGTTACGGATTCTGACATTTTCGTAAGTATCTTGCACTTATTGACTGGGTGGGTAGGGGGTGGAAGATCCAAGAGAAGCCAGCAATTTCCTTTTTAATCCAATGACTCCAGTTCTTTAACTAATATAAACAATACAGTGTAAACTTGATGTTATACTAGTTAATGTTTTTCAGAATTAATCTATATTTTCAAGGAAAAATAAACAAATATTATACTGTATATTGCAATCAATATTTATTTAATAGAAAAATAACTGATCAAATTCTAACAAAGATAACAATAAATAAATAAATATGTATATAAAATTAATATCAAGCCTAATAAAAGTATTACATACACAGGGACGAGCAGATGAGTCAGTACTTGATCAGCTAAAGCAGATAGTCAATCGTGAACCCTTGGCTCCTATCTTTGAGCAAGAAAAGGAGCTTGTTTGGCAGCGCAGGTTTGTTATTGGTCTTTCCTTCCTCACATTGTGGCTGAATAAATGACAAAAATACACCCTAAATGTTATTTTTGTGTTTTTTTTTGTGTTTCATTCAAAAATGTTTGTAATTGTTTTTCCCAAAAGCACCTAGGTTTATCGAGGTGGATTGCAATATCATATATTTTACTTATTTTTTTTTCTTACTTTTAATTTCTATTTTTACCTCCTGAGTAATCTCTACTTTCATCTAGTTTTGAAGGTGTTTTGCGAGGAGTAAATACATTGGTCTCCCCAAAACTATAGATTGACGTGTAATGTAGTGCTGTCATTTTCTTCTCATCACTGGTATTGCACATGCAGTAAAGGTTGCAAACAAAATTTAAAAGTACTGTGTAACAGAAAAAAAATCTTGTGTTTTTCATTTTTACAGAATTGATTGCCGTGAACATTTTTCACATGCTTTGGCAAAACTGCTTTGCTGTGTGAAGTGGAACAGTAATAAGGATGTTGCTTTGGTATGAAGTAATTTTTTAACAGTTTCATCTCTGAAATCCAAAGAACTTTTCTTAAATCCTTAGATCCCAGAAAATCTTTAGATCCCAGGCCTAAACTACTCAGTCTCTGTCAAATGGCATCTAGTTTCCCCTTAGTGAGAATAAAGGAAATGATTACCAACTTGAGAAGTTCCCTGACGTTGCTAAATAACTTCTCCTTGTCATTATCACAAGAGGAGTGTAAAGAACTGTACAGAGAACATGCATACCACTGTTAGGGATTATATGGCTAAACCCTGCTGTCTGCATTGTGTATTCTAGTTATTATGATAGTTGTTCTGGAATCCTTGCTGTTGTTCAGGAGTCTCACTATTTAAAATTGTAAAAACCTTGTTTAATCAAATGATTTCTTTTTGCAATAATTGCTGTGGTGTTATTTTTTCAGATGCAAATCCTGCTTCAAACATGGCCAGAGCTTGAGCCAGAGGTGGCTTTAGAACTCTTGGATTATACATATGCTGACCAAGAAGTGAGAAAAATTGCAGTGAAGTGTATTGAAAAGATGAGGTTTGTCTCATGTTTTACAGTTTGACCATTTTTTGCAGTCTACTATTTTCAGCAACCAGTTTCCTCTGATCATTCACACTTTTAAATTATCAATGAATACGACCATTGGTGATCAGTGAACAGTACTGTAATGAATTTAATTACCTGCCAATACTTGGTCTTGTTTACACATTTAGATTGTATTCCTTTGATTTATTTGTGCAGAGACTCAGAGATCCAACAGTATCTTCTTCAGCTTGTCCAGGTAAACAATTCCTTAGCCCTTGCAAAAAGAAAAGTACACAGGCTTCCAGATCAGTATTTTCTTTTTCTGTAATTGTTTCCAAGAGAAAACATAAATGTGTTGTTCCAGAAGATGTTCATGTCCTATTGGCAATGTTGGTTACCAACCGTCATTACCAATTTTCTACTTCACACACCTTTCTTTAAATACCACTAACCTTTTCAGATATCAATACACCAGTAAATAATTTTGTGATATAGCTAGCAGTACTGATGGGCAATAGGAAGCAAATCCTGTGTTCTGATTGGCTGCCTGAGCAGGCAAGATAGGCCCATCTTGCCAGCTCAGGATTGCCTGCTTTAATGTAGCACAAAAAAAGGGCATGGAGCAAACTTACAAAGTTTATAACTTTTGAACAGTGTTGGCAATGAAGTCACAAAGTGGCAGAGGACTTAAACCAACCTTATGGGTTTATTGTGCCACAAACACAGCTGTCTTTCTTTCCTAGCTCTTGAAATAAACAAGTTATTCTTGATTCTTATTAAAGTGATATCTTTTTGCAACATACTAAATCCTTTAAAGAACAAGCTTGTTTGTTCAGGATAGCTGGATATGAGCCTTGCTCTTTTCTTGGTCTTTGTCTCAGTCCATAAAACACACACACCAAAAAAACTTGGCTAATGTCTAGCCATCTTGAACTCATGCTTGGTCAATAACCCATACTTATGGAACTGCACATTCTGAAAAATCCAGAAACGTCTGACAATAACATTTTTAGAAGAAAGAGCAAGCTGTTTAAAAAAAAACATATATCTGAATAATGAATTGATAAATGTGTTATTAAAGGAGTAAACCATAACCTGAAAAGCTTTCAAAATTAATTTTTTGCAGGTTCTAAAGTATGAATCATATTTGGACTGTGACTTGGCAGAGTTTTTGCTCCGGAGAGCTTTAAAGAATCAGCACTTTGGCCATGAGCTGTTTTGGCTTCTCAGGTACAATTTTTTGACAGTATCAATGATATATTTATGTCAAGGGATTTAACCTCTCACTGTCCAAAGACTTGCAATCTGCTGTTGATAGGGTCAAGATTAGTTTAGAATGGAGAAAGTTATCATGTTAGCTGATAACAAACTTGAGGAACTAAAATAAATTTATTTGCAGAAATATGAAGCTTTATGAAGCTACTCTAACTCAGTTATCTTCATGGAAATCTAGAAAACTTTTTGAAAATCATGTAATCACAAAGGAGATAAAGAAAATGCTATTTTGAGAATTAAAGCAACTCGCCAAAATTTGAAATCTTCCTAGTCTTTCCAACCAATGACTCAAGGAAATTGCTCAGTAGTGGCCATCCAAAGTAGCAAAGGAAATAGATATTACAACCTTCACAATTTCACAATTTTGTGAAATTTTTTTTAGCTTATACTCACTATTTCTATTTGATTTCTTAGGGCTGAAATGGAAAATCCTGGAGTTTCAGTGAGGTTTGGTTTGATGTTAGAAGCATATTGCCGTGGTGCCCCGACACACATGAAAAGCCTTCAGCACCAGGTTTGTCTAAGTTTGATGAGAATGGAACTCAGATTGGAACTCCTTTAGCGGGAAACGATGTAGCATGTTAGAAATTAGGTGAAAATGGCACAGTGATTAATGATGAGGTCACTGTTGACCCTGTCAGTCTCTTAAGTGATCAGTACATGCATGTGAATTGTCCTCTTTGGAAAGTCACAGTCTGTTGTTGTATTGACAGCGGTGTAACTGATGAAAACTACTTTGTTTCTTAGGCCCAAGCACTCAGCAAGATGAAAGCTGTTACTGAGTTACTTCAGCTAATTGACAGGGTATTGTGTGATGCCCTTTTTGTTTATTTGTGAATGGTTTAATCTTATTTCCTTTTGATTTATTTTCGTGTGTCAAATTTTTATGATGATGGCAATATACTTCACAGAATGCCCTTCACCTACACCCCCCACCCACCCCCCCCCAACACTCTTCCACCAGCTGCACAAATCATTTTAGTGCTGAAATAGTTTATTTCAATTTATTTTGTATTTTTTGCTCTAGGAAAAAAAGGAAAAAGGTTTGGCAACAATGAAAGAGCTCCTTCGTCAGAAAACGTATCAAGGAGCACTCTCCAAAATCAGCTCTCCTCTTAATCCAAGCTACAAGCTGCGGCAACTGAAGTATGACATCTCACCCTTGCTGCTCTAAATTTCCTAGTCAATCATAAAAATTACAATTTTCTTGACTGTGATTGGTTTAAAAAAACTGGTTTATTTTCTACTAATTCACTTTCCAAGTTATTATTGGACAGTTTGTTATCAGACAGTTCAATAAACCAATCACATGAAAAGTTGTAGTTTAAATCAACCAGTCACAACCTTGGTTTCATTTACCATAGAAGCAGTGCACAGACCCCTTAATTGCTATTCTTCTATTCTCGGAAATTGTGAGTTTTATGATTAATTGGTAAGACGACTTCGTGTCAATTCGGTCTGTAATCTTACTCGTGTTAAGAAATGGAACGTCAGCTTCTATTTCAGGTTTCAAAACTTATTATCTCGGAAAAGTGCGTGGCTACTCCTAGTTTTGTTTCTGGATTTTGTTAGCCCTTGATGAGATTTAATTTGTTTGTCTAGTCACTGAGCGGGCAAAATTAGGTCACTTTTAGCAAGCACTGTCCTTAAAACAGATATAATCTCAATTTTCTTAAATTTATCTTAATTTGTTCAGTGTCGACCAGTGCAAGTTTATGGATTCCAAGATGCGGCCACTTTACTTGGTGTTCGAAAATACGGACGAGCTGGGAGACCTGGTGCGCATTATCTTCAAGAATGGAGATGGTGAGTGTGAGAGTACAGAACCATGCACGAGTGTTGCAGTACCCACACGCTAGTCAAGCGCGTGTACAGCGCGGGAATTGCACGCGCTTCACTACGAGTAGTACCTCGTATTACAATGTTTTGCACGCAAATCGTGTATTTTGATGTGTCATTCACAAAAGTTTTTTTTAATGCAAAATCTCGCCAAGCTAGAAATTAGGAACATTTTAATTTTTGTTGTTGTTGTTTACAAGGTACAGAACATGTTATTTTAGGATCACATCCTTTTTAAAGTATTGCATTCTCTCTGTGTTAACTTCACTTTGGTGATTTTTTTGTAGATCTCCGTCAGGACATGTTGACTTTACAGCTGTTTAAAATCATGGATAGGATCTGGCAGAACGAAGGACTGGATTTAGGGTTCGTTATTTCAGAATTACAAAAATACACAGGGCGAAAGCTTGCAACAGAATGCAGTGTTTTAAAGGCAAAGGAAGTAAATGACATAACCAGTCCCATTACCCATTGCGAACATCCAACACGAATCCAGACCCTTGTCAGCAGTTATGAAATAGCTACATCTGCCAATTTATAGTTACCACAAATTGCATTATTTTTCCTCACACAGAATGATCCCCTACGGATGTTTGTCCACGGGAAGCTCTATAGGAATGATCGAGGTCGTGCACCAAGCTGAGACCATAGCCAAGCTTCAGAAAAAGAAAGGAATGACTGCTGTTTTTGCCAAAGAGTGTATCTGGAACTGGTTCAAGGACTATCACTCTACTGAAGACGAGTAAGTGGTTAAAAATAAAGTCTCTCAAAGAGATGCCTGCTTATGCGTTGTATTCACATCCTGTTCACGTCATGGAGCATTGCTTAATTGAGTGACGAAAGTGCCCAGCGACAGCATTAACTCGCTACACCTTAACATCAGAATTCATATTCTCCCTACTGTTCTCTGTATATTTCCCAAGGTGCTGACAAAGAGAATTTGTGGAATAATCAAGAGTTTCTTTAGTTGCTGATCACTTCCTTTCTTCTCGTGACCTTAATGTCCAGGGTTGATATTGTAAGGAGAAATTAGATGCTAATCACTCTTAGAGGTCAAAGGATTGAAAGCAATTTCCAAATAAGTATCAAACGTACTTTAGGATTGAATAGGTTCTGCTTCATTAGGTTCGATGAACATCCCCTCAACCCATCTGATCCAGACTCCTTACTCCTCCTCCCCTCCCCTCTCCCACTGTTCTTGTTTAAAAAATTGTCTTCCCCAATGTTTTTTTTTTTTTAAGGAAATAAAGTATTTAATGTGTTATGTAAAATTCAAGATTTGTGTCTTGATATCTCCCATGTAGACTGTTCGAAGCTGTACGCCGTTTCACGCTCTCCTGTGCGGGGTACTGTGTGGCCACATATGTTCTGGGGGTGGGTGACAGGCACAGCGATAACATCATGGTGAAGAATACAGGACAGGTACGTTTACTGATGATGAGTGACGGAAATGTGTGGTCGTAGGGTTTATATGCATTGTCTCCAACAGCTACTTTCGTGATTGGTTGGAGGAAGTTTACAATTTTTTTCTAAGATTTTCACTGATTCAGCACCAATTTTAAACTGTGATTTTTGAAACTGCGTTTTTGTTTTGATTGCAGTTATTCCACATTGACTTCGGCCATATCTTGGGTAACTTCAAGAGCAAGTTTGGCGTGCGGCGAGAAAGAGTGCCTTTCGTACTTACTGATCATTTTGTACATGTGATTTCCTTGGGTAAAGGAAGAGATACGAACGAGTTTAAAAGGTAAAAGCTTGCTTTAACCCTTCACACCCTAACAAGTATGCATGCTCTTCACACTGTTCTCTGTGTATTTCTTAAGGTGCGAGGAGTCCTCTTTCTTGTCCCCTCCCCACCCTCCCTCCTTTTCGCCCTCTCTTGCTCTTTCCCCCCCCCCCCCCTTTGCAGCTGGAAAGAGAATGAAAGTACGAAGTTGAGGACGTGATCGCCACATAAGCTTTTTGCTTTTTTCCATCCTCTCTCGTTTCCATCATAAGTTTTCACCGTTTAAATTGTATTTCTTTGTTCTTAAGATTTCAACAGCTTTGTGAAGAAGCCTTTCTCATACTGCGTCGCAAGGGCCCACTTCTGATCAACTTGTTCGTCATGATGTTATCCGCAGGCCTCCCTGAACTGCGGTCACTTGATGACATTGGTTACTTGCGAAAAACACTCCTCTTGCCCGTATCGGAAGATGATGCCCTCAGAGACTTCAGGAGTAAATTCGACCACGCTATCAACAACAGCTTTTCGACAACAATGAACTGGTTTGCGCACAATGTAAAAAGGGACAATCCCTGAAAAATAAATTACGTCGTCTTCTGCTAATGAGTGCTGTAGCGTCAATTCCTTCCACAGACCCCTCGATGTTTGGGTCACCACAAGAACGTTCACGGGGAGGAGGGGAAAGAATTTTTTGGTCATGAAATGACGTCATTACAGGAGCTTGTCAATCAACAGGAGACAACAAATAGTAAATTTCGGTGGCCTCTCTATGAGAAGGATATGTAGACACATACATTTTTTACTTTGAATGTATTAAAATCATATTTGTGAACTATGGATGTAGAAATTGATATTAGAGCAGTCTTCGCTGTAATGAAAATAAGGCCTGAAAAGAAAAAAAAAAGTCTTAAGTCCTGTACGGGATTTGAACTCAGTACTTTTGCGATACCGGTGCAGTGCTCTTCTCACTGAGCTAACAAGCCAACTGGGAGCTGGTTATTATGCTGGTTTTTAATATACCCATGAATTGATGAATAAAATGTCTGTGAATATGTGCAAATCATACATGTGAATTGCGGATTAGGAGATTAATATGAAAGCGATCTTCGTAATAAAGAACACTGCTTAAGCAGGAGTGGAAATAAGGCGATCATATCTTCATGAAATCACAGCTCAGTTGGTATAGCACTGTACTGGTATCGCAGAAGTCATGGGTTCAAATCCTGATTTTTTTTTTTTTCAAGCTGTATTTTCGCTACTGCTTAAGTAGTGTTCATTGCTGCGAAGGTCGTTTTCACATTAACATACAGTCTTTTTTTAACTTGTAAAGGTTCTTATGACATTTTGTTTTGTGTTAATACTCTGCTTTGGTTAAAGTAAAAAAAATGGTTTTTATTTAAAGAAGAGTGGACTACCACAAAGAATGGAATGACAGCACAGGAAGAAGAGTAAGATGTTAAAGGGAGTCATTACGCAGAGAAATGTCAATTTACGCTGACCCTTTAAGTTACTTTGGGGAGCTTTTTTGTGTTATCAATTTTAAAAATTTGAAATATATATGAAGTCGTATATAGGGCATAGGTTGTTATTAGAGATGAATTTCTTTATGCTGTTTTAAGCAGGTGTTCAATTTATTTTGTAATGAGGTAGTTAGAATTTCTTGGCCAGAGGCGACCATGTGTTACTTTGTATTCAGGGGCTCGCTTTTACTCATAGCTATCAACTCGCCAGTGTGGTGGGAACTTAATCAAATCAAGCGCAAGTGATTTAGATCGGCTGAGTGCCTTGTATGCAGATCTCAGGTAGCATTTGATTTCAACTGTTTTCTAGGAAACTTGTCTAAACGAGGCAAATGTTAGTAGTATAGGTAATAAGTTGGTAATTGAGTGGTTTAATGCTGTCCAACGTTTTTTTGCTTCGAAAAATTCAATTGAATCCTTACCATTGGTTCCTTAAGATTCTTAAAATACAAAGGGAACAGTTTTGGGCATTAATGGTTTCGACTTTTTTTAAAGATTTTAATTCGTCACAACCTTAATAGAAACGCCTTGAACAGATGGAACAGAAAATTGGTGCGTTTGCTAGATTAAGGTTAATGTAAGTTTTCAGATTTTTTATTTTATTTTCTTAAGAGATTATATATTAAGTTGTAAAGAATTGCTTTTAAATCGAGTCTGAGTAGATTATTAAAAACATCGGGATGAAATATACAGTTTTTTAGAATTTTTTAAAACGAATTTCGTGAGTTTTATCATTTAATTGAAATTCCACCTTTTCTAATAGGAAGATAGCGTGTTTCTAAGTCGAAAATAAATAAGTGAAAAGAACGTAGAAGTGTGCTGTCCATGTGTTTTTAAATTTTCTTTTGTTCCTCGGGCGTTAGAGGGGGGCTTTTGATAATCCCTAAAGGTTTTCTTTGACAGCTGGTTAATAATAATCTTCAATCCTTATTGGTCGCGTCACTGGCTTCCTGATAAACTATTGGTGGATTAAATATAATCTCGTATCAAATTTCATAGGGTACCGCCATCTTGAATGTTTATAAATTACATATTGTCTTCAAGATGATTGAGGATCAATAACTGCAAAACTTGTTTTGCCGACCTCTTTCTGAGCGAAGATCTGTGATGGAGGGAGAAGAGGCTTTAATCCATTTTAATTGTTTTGTGCACTACCCAAGTTTCACAGAAGAAGGACTAGAGGTAGAAACGGTCGCAAGGGGAAACGGCATCCAACTTCCTCCCAGCACACAACTTTCGAGTCTTGCAGCGAGCGTGTTGAGCGACATGTTCCAAAAGCAAGAAATAGACGGTAAAATTATCATGAAAGCGGACAACGCCAAAGGTCAGTGGATAAGTGAGCTTCATTTCGTTTGAATTTTTTTAACCTGACATTTAAACTTTGTTAGATACAATGCACTCTTCGCGAAGCCTGAGGTTCGAATCATTGATCGATGGGGAACTGACCACCCACATTTAGATCACTTCTATTGATGTAAGAAGTACATGGCTTTGATTTTGCTTGAATTGTTTCCCTCACGATCTCTCTAAATAAATTTCAACATTTCACAGGAACATACGATAGCTAAAATGAAATGCTTCCTTTTAAGTTCATTATTCCTTTCAATTTATTAAGATTTAAAAACCCTGGAGGTATAAGCATACTGTTAAGACTTATTATTCATTTCATAGAATGTGGTGTTTCTTTGTTCTTTTTTTTTCATTTGTCTACAAGACTTCGAGTATTTGGTCAGAATTTAGTTCCCCTAAGCAACTACATAAAGCGTTAAATTGAATTTGTATCCGTTTTTGTTCCGTGGATTATACAATGTAATCAGCGCTACATGTTGTTTTTGTTGTTTGTCACAGGAGATGCAAATCTTTATTACATTTCAGATTCTTTGATACTTGGGGAGGGGAGGGTGTGTTTGGAAGAGTATTGGCAAACTTTAAATGAGACGTGACCAAATTTAATACAAGGAATATTCAGTATTGATAAGCCTATTTAAAAAACAACGCTATAATATTGTACTCATAAATATGTCGCTGTTGTAGTCATATTTCCTCCAATGCATTTTGTTCTGAGCATAATTTGCATATACCCTACCTCAACCTTTTGATAATTTGCGCATCCTTTACAATTGCGCGCAAAAACAGCTGCTGAATTCTAGCATGCCATTAAAACGAGAAGACTTGATTGATCATGCTCCATTTACCCTTTACATCTTAACATCACTATGCATATTCTCCACACTTTTTTATCTACATTTCCTAAGGTTCTGACAAGAAGAATTTGTGTAACAATCAAGAGCTTTAATTAGTGATCATTTCCTGATATGTGATTCAGGGGTGATATTGTAAGGAAAAATTAGATACTGGTCAGTCTAAGGATTTAAATGGTTAAGGGTCAGCTTAGGCATAATTTATAATGGAATTGAACTGAGTGGAGTGCAATTTAGTCTGAAATCCTATGCGTGATTTCAAAATCAAACAGGCACGCTTGGTGAGTTTGGTTTTAAATAACACTTACAATTTCAGACCAAAATTGCATGACACAAAGTTCATATACCACTTTATTACAACTTCTGGTATTTTGAAGTAAAAAATTTGGTTGCACAAATACAAGTTTTATTAAATATATACAAATATGGTCCAGTATTAGTTAGTTTGTAAAAAGTTACAAAAGTTGTCTTTTGTTTTCCTTTTAAATAAGCCTTGAAGTCTGATTGGTTGTGGTGTTTTAGTAAAGCTGTCTCATTGCCTGGGAAAAAGATGCAATTTAGAGCATAAAATTGTGCGACTGGTGAATAAATTGCATCACTAAGAGCCAGTCAAATTGCAAGGATCACCAGTTATTTCAAAATGGATGCAACAAAGAGTAAAGATATGTTCCACAGTAGTCTTATTCCACTGGCATATATTGGATGTGAGATGGTATCAAACATGATTTCATTCGTAAGATGGCTATGATTATCATTTAACAAGCAGAATTATCTAATTAGTTCACTTTAAAATAGTTATGACCAAATAAATACAAGTGAATAGAGACTATACCAAATTAATTTACAGGAGATGAAACTAGATTACATGTATTCTGGAAGTGAGAGCCCAAATCAGTATTGATATTTATTAGGACATCTTCAAGTTCCAAAAGTGCCTAATTTTAAAATTAGAGAAGTCAAAAAAATCATTTTCACATCAGAGGTTTTGTTGACTGTAACACATCTTGAAAATGCCTTAGTACCTGAGTTGCACTCTTCCAGCCAAATTATTAACAATTTGCTATTGTTAAAAATCTGAAACTGTGAACATTTTTAAAAATCATATATGTGAACTGTGCTTTAAGAGATGAATATTAAAGCAATCTTTGCAGTGATGAACACTACTTAAGCAGCTATTAAAATAAGGCCTGAAAAAAATTCTGCTCTATATGGGATTTGAACTTATGTATTTTGCAATACGGATGCAGTGCTCTTTGAACTGAGCTAACAAGGCAACTAGGAGCAGGTCATTAAAAGTCTGGTAACTTTTGAAACCTACCCCATAAGATATGTTCAGGGAAACACTCTGCTAGTTAAGTGATAAGGCTTCCTTGATGTATCCCCTTTAGCCCTTTGACTCCTAAGATTGACTAGCATTTAATTTCTCCTCACGTATCACCCCTGAATCAAACATAAGGGTAACAAGAATAAAGGATATGATCACCAACCAAAGCAGTAGTTGATTGTTGGACAAATTCTCCTTGTCAGCACCTTAGGAAATATATAGAGAACAATAGGGAGAAAATACATGCAGATGATGGGGTGTGAAGGGTTGACTGTGTTTTGTTTGCTTTTTTTTTTTTCCAGTGTTGATTCAAGTGCGTGACCACTGGAAACCACATCCACTTGCAGACTTCACCTCAGCAGGTGACCTGGAAGTGACATTGCTTGATTCATTTGGTGAGATTCTATTTGCCAAAGATGCAGCAATCAGCCTTCATGTTCATCTTTGTTATGAGTGAGTTGAAAAAATTCCATAGCTATATGCTAGTTATCAACAACTTGGGTATAATACTACAGCTTATTGTTTTTATGTAATTTATGTTGATTTGATTGGTGGGATAAACAAAATTTCCTCTCCAGAATGTTACTAGAAATACTGTGCATGGGGAAATGTATACAATGGTTACTATTTTTTGAGACACTAGTGTAACAAATCAATTTTTTCTTTCATTAATGGTGGCCTGTTTAGCTCCTATTCAGGGTAGAGGTTTTTACAATTCGGACAACTTGTGGGATGATCAGTGGTGTTATTTCACATACCTTTTAAATGGCTAACCATGAGGCTAACCCTAATGGCACAAGAAATAGTCCCAAGTCACTCCAGAAATTAGCCTAGTGTTAGATTTGTGTGGGGAAAAAAAAAGTCTGTGACTGTCAAAAAGTAACAGAGTATTCTTACTGTAAGATATTTTACTGACATTAGTGTTTGTGCAATGTTTTTACAGTAAGGATTGGGATGATCAAAAAGTCAAGACAGCTATCAAGAAACTTCTAGAGTACTACAGCCAAACTCACCTAGAACGTATGCTGTGTCCATTTTCACAGGTATTGTATAGGTAGAAAAAGAAATTGGAGGTGTACTTTATGTGGAAGTATAATCTTAAACTTTAAACTTTTGGCAATTTTTATAAAAATGCAGCAAAAAAAGTTATTTTTTTAAAAACAACAACATTTTTACCCCATTGAGAGAAAAAATGATAGCTGATAAGAATCTATTAATACAAGATAAAATTTACAATTGATTAAAGAAAAATAAAAGTGCTAAAAATGTTATTTAAACAAAGAGTTTGGCATGGTTGCAGTCTGTTTTGGGTTTTTTCTACCTCCAAAATAATCAAGCAGGTAGAATTGGCTGGCAATTTTCTTCCTGAACAAACTTGAAATGCTTGTCAACAAGAAAAACTTGAACATTGTAAACCCTATAACTCCCAAGATCTTATCGTTAATTCTCCCCTCCTTGTAAATTACTTATGAGAACTTTTTGTCATATCAATATAACAACTTTGACCTGATCAGTTTGAGTATCCTCATAACCTTTTTGCTGGATAATGTAAGGATATCTTTGGGAGAAGTTACATGTTAATGGTTTGTGGGAGTTAAAGTATTTAAATTAACTTAGTATTGGTTTTTACTAGGGCATGCTGTCACAGATATCCAGAGACCAATACCCTTGCCGTCTGTCGTCAGAAAAAATAAAACTGTTTGCTGCATGGTATGAACATTCTCAGCTGAGCAAAGAACAAGAGCAAGATGGTTCATCCTCACCTGGGAAGAAAATGTTAGCCACTCTACGTGGAAAGAAAATTGTATTCAATTCAACTGTTGAAATTCCACTGCTTAGGAAATGGTATGAAGAAAACCCCAAGCCAGATATTAAAGATCTGACAAGATATGCCGAAATCCTAAACAACTTGGACCAGCGCAAAACAAGAGAACAAGTTCTAGCTCGACATGTGAATACATGGTTTAAGAATGAAAGAGCACGACTCAGGAGGGAGGGACTTCTGGAAGACTTGTCAAGACCTTCCATGGTGGTAACTACTGGTACATAGTTAACCCTTGACACCCTAAAATCAGTATGCATATTCTCCTTACTGCTTTTTATTCATTTCCTAAGATGCTGACAACGAGAGTTTGTTTACCAATCAAAAGCTTCTTTCATTTGTGATCATTTCCTTTATTCTCATGACCTTAATGTGTGATTCAGGGGTGATATTATTAGGAGAAATTTGATGCTGGTCACTCTTAGGGTTTAAAGCAGTCTGTCCGAAGGATGGTTTCACATGAATCTTAGTTCATGTGTCTCAGTCACCCACCCCCAGATGGTATTAAAAAAAAGGTACATTTTATTATTGATTTGGCATTTATTGCAATTGATTTGGTTTCTCTAACTTCTTGGTGCTGATTTGTACTAAGGCAAACCACTATAATCAAAAATCTCTGGTGTTATTTGCTTGAATGGTAGTCTGAGTTTCTATACCCTGTGTAACCATAGCTGCACAAGAAACATGATTGATTTAACAAGAAGTTTTGTTATGAAATAGATGGTAATTCTCACACTTTGCATTTTCTGTCACCTTATGAAAAATTGGGATCTTGTGGAGCAGCAGGGTGAATTTGGAGAAAGCTGAATGTACTGGAAACTCTTGTGAAACTGAAATACATCACTTAAACAACTATAACAATACAACTTGCACTGTTTTCTGTACATGTAGAGTAAGTATAATATTGGGTTGACAGTAATAGTCACAGTTATGCCACGTGTTACTCATAAGCCTTTTGCAATTTTACTTTGATAACTGGGTGACACCTGGGCATGGGAAAGGGAATTTTAAACAGGAACTCTTTACATGGCCAAAAAGTTAAAAGAATACACAAATTATGGGCAGGCCTACTTAGGCCTAACGTTGATAAATATTCAGTATCTTTTCTTTAGATTACATGTTAAATGGTTTTGATTGTTATGCTCAAACTTTGAGGCACTTAAATTATCAGCAAGCAAAATGAACTTGTCTTCAATAGGCTTTCCATATTACCTCAGTTATTTAATTTTTTTATTTTTCTTTGTAAAGTCTCTGATTAGTGAGACTATCTTTGTTTAGGAAGGAGGGTATGGATACTCATCCTTCCCCCTTTTACAACAAATCAAGCATAGACAGTACATTTGAAAGAATTAAGAGAGCATTTGCAGTCTATTTTTCCAAGGCAAAGGTGTGGAAACAAATGAGTCAAGTTTATAAATTGGGATGATCAGTTTGAATTAAAACATTAGTCAATTTAAGAAAGGTACATATGGTACATACTACATTTAAAGAATGTAATAACAGAACTGCAGCTTTAGAGACAGCTTAAAACTAAAATGTAACAACTACTGCAATTAATTTTCATTTGTAGAAGATTAATGTCATCTATATAGTGAACTTTGCTTTTCTTCAAGCTCTTTATTACAAATATCATAGCTTTGGATCAATATCAGTATCTGGGCAACTGCCCACCTACCCCTCCCCTAACCCAACATTAACCTTAACTTGTTGTTAATTGACTGTTGTTGAGTTAGGGGAGGGGTAGGTGGGCAGTTGCCTAGATACTGATATTGATCCATAGCTTTCAAGTGTTAGTTGAATGGTTATGTTTTCTGATTGATTTAGAGCTCGTAGTATTTTGAGGGTGCTTACCCATGGCCAGAATGGAATACCCAGACCAGTAAAGTTAAAATGCAGTTGGTCATTTTGGATAGGTTTCTTTAGCTGTGACAAACCTTTTATTAAACCATAGGTACAATTAAGGAAATTACTGGTCAAGCCTAGCAATTCTGATTGACCTCTTAATTATCAGAGAAAGATATTTGTCTTGAGCTTGGAGCAAAAGTCAAAATTAAAGAATCTTCCTGTTTATTCTTTTCATTAGTGGGGTGTTTGAATGAGGCAATCCTGACTACTGGTGAGCACCCTCAACCCTTTAACTCCCAGGATCTCATTAGTAATTCTCCTTACCTTGTTGGACAATTCTCATGATGTCAGCTAGGAGAATTTGGTATTGGATCATCTAATAATCCCCTAATTGGTGTGTTTATTGCTTCTTGTCACCTATCTACTTGTTATTGTATTGACATTGTAAGGAGAAATTCTGTCTTGGTCACTCATGGGAGTTAAAGGGTTAAATATGATAGTGGTACAACTCTGTATGTATTTTCACGCATTATATAAACTTGAGGAAAAACTATTAATGTAAATAGTATTTAATGTAAAGTAATATATTTATGCATGGTTTAATCAGACTTGTGTAAAGACATTTGTGGAATTTTTTGTTCGATTTCTTCCTGAGTTTCGTCTCTTACCCACTGAGATCTGATCTGTAATTTTTCCTCCTACATTGTACGTGGGCTATTATGGATAACGGATAACTATACATCAAAGATCTTATCGTTGCACTGTCGTCGTGATCATCTTTCTAATTTGTTAGCGCATTACTTTCTTCCTGTTTAACTGGCTGTCAGATATGGATTGGTTAACCACTGAAATGAAACGATGAAAGGGATGAGGAGATATTATGTCACTTGGTTAGATTGTTTGATAAATGAATCGGATCCTCCAATAGATCCACGATGCGTTATTAGGAGTTATGGCAATACAGGATATTTTTAGATAAAAAAAAATAGGAATGCAGGAGGAATACTTCAAGAAAAAACTAAGAGCGAATGTCTAGGTTGACCGCGTTAAATAAAAAAGATGGCACATGATCTAAAAAGTGACAACTTACATACTTTGCCTAGCGACAAATGCTTGAGTGTGTTACATCTGTACTAGTATCGGCTTTCTTCCTGTCTTCAACGTATGTGGCAAAGGACTCTCGATCTACAGGATTAAATGGTTTGATTATCCTCTTTCAAGTCCATGGTGAAGCTCAATTTTACCCTAGAACTTTCTGAAACCTTACATGTGGCGGAATATGGGAAGAAAAACAGACGCCTGCCGCTAGCTGTTATTTAGAAACAATTTCGTTGCGGGAAACGGATGAGAATTTGAAACGAAAGCAGGGATAATATTGGACCTGGTGTCGTTTGCTATGAAAGGTTAGCTTATTTAATTGGTCTCTTGATCGGATACGGTGCTAACTGCTAAGATTTTCTTGGAATTCTGGATTCAACGGCGAGCGTTGCCCTTTTAGACAAAATTCAGTTTTCCCGGTTTTTCTGTGCGGAAATGAAAAACCCAAACCTACTTTCATATCCTCGAAAACAACTCTATTTCCACTTATCATGGGCTTAACTTGAACCGGTTCTGAGCTATACCACATGCCAAAAATATTAATTAACAAATTGGCGACGAAATACGATGTTTGGATTTTGAAATATTGATAATCTCCAAAAGCGTAGGATGATCGAGCCCAAAATGGAATGAAATGATCCTATCTCAGACTTGAACCACAGCGCCATCTTCCTTTACTGAAGTAGTGGAACGTAGCCCATTTCAGCTACGTACCGGTAAGTGAATTGCAATATTCACTTATTCACAACCATCAAAATAGTAGGAAAGAGTTGAAATTGAATTCGTCATCAGGGTAATATTATCCACATTTTCCTGCGAGACATTAAAATTTGAAGTGGCAAGAGTGAAAATCTGCAGTCACCCCGAAGTACACAGAAGAAATAATACGAAGAAGTGATCCGCTCTATGTTGTACTAAGGGGTGTGTTTTTGCTTAGCTAAATGTAGACATGTTCTTCATTATAGCTAGGGACGCATTCCGAAAATTGTGAAAGAGGAGGGCAGAACAAACGTTGGTGATAGTGAAAGCCCCCTTCCCCTCCCCCCCCATCATCATTGGTGGTAGTGTAAGCCCCCTTTTCCCCCTTCCCCCCCCCCCCCACCCCGCAGCTCGCCTAGTTTCTTTCCCCCTATTTGTTGGTAGTACAGTAGGGTTCGCTGCAGGAGAAAGTCTATGTTCCTTACTCCTTGCTATTTCGAAAAAAGAAAAACTGCTACTTTTGGCTTTCCGTGCGGATTTTAAATATATATAAGGCAACTTTCATTTTAATAGTTCTTAGATCTTCATTACATATTTTGATATTCGACAATATATCGATACGAGTGCCTTTGAACAAGAAAAGCACTGAAATAAAAGTAGATAAATAATTTAACATTATGACACTCGTGAGAAGGTTGGTTACGAAAACTCTCTGAAACTACCAGAGGAAAAAGGGGGCGGCATTTTTACCGTCTTCCCTCAGACTGCCCTGCTTGCGCATATGCACCTTTCCCAGAGCGGAACACATTTATCATCTTGAGTTGACGTGTCATTATTTCGTTATTATGGAAATTAATCAAGCTCAATTAGACTCAGACAGACAGGCAATTAGTTTTACTGTTAGTGGAATCACGCATATCATTTGGCAATCATTTTGCATGAGAATCATACAGACTTAAGTTGGTTTCACGATGTCTTAGTTACCGATATTACACAATTTTACTGTCTCAACTAAAATATCATCATAGATAAATTAAATCACAACAGTACGTACCCCAATGTACAATAGAAATCGGCTTGGCGAATAGTATAGCATTTACTTTAAAATTTCTCTCATCTCTACTAAAGGGGTGTCTCTGTTCATGAAAAACCGTTTTTTATTTCCAATTTCTACTATTTTCCTTCCGCGCCAAGAATTCCGTCAAAGGGGCTTTTCCTTACATTTTATTTGATGTAACGCGCGATGTCACGCTATGTTAACTAGAAGCGGTTGTTGCTTGGATACAACATGGCGAAGATCAGGTACAATGACATAAATGTCTGTTTCACGTGTCGATAGAGATATGAGATAAGGGCTCATATTTACAAGACAAACCATAGATCTACCCAATAGGTAAGTCAGTTGTTTTTTTTTTTTTAAAGAATCCGGCGTTTGTCCTGAAATGTCCTGAATGTTCATTGATCCCTTAGCTTGATCTTCGACGTCGCTCGATATTTTGTTACACGCTCTGTCATTATTTTCGCCTTCGTTTCCTTTTTTCCTTTCTCACTCTCAACGGGAGTTTGATTTATTTGATATATTTATTTGATTTATAAAGTGAAATTCTGGTGTTTAATTTATCAATCTGCCATTGAATTGAATTTATCAATCTGCCACTTCGAAATTCTCGTCATAATTATTATTGCCAGACGGCCTCGCCGGCTAGATTTGCGGGAAGAATTTTTTCTTTCTCCTTATTTGAGAAATTTGGACAAGTTATCGAGGTCTCAGTAGCTGGACAATCCTCTCTTTCTTACATAAACTCATCGAAATGTTCACCTTGAAAGCTGGGGTAAGGCGAGACTGTTGAAAAACCCAAACAGCCCGGCTTGTCGTGGCCGTTTATTTTTAGTTTCGACGGGAGCGTGGATGTTTGACTCGGGTTTGAGCGCATTGAAACCTTGCTGCCCTCTCTTCTGGATACGGGTCGTGGCATTATCACAACGTCATAAATGCAGCCGACTTCTGTTCGATGAAACAATATTTTAGACCGAAGGCAAGGATTATAAACTTTACGTGATGAACAGCGAATTTAAAAAGGCCATACATTGTAGGTGAATGATATCGCTTACATAGTGATGTGTGAATTTTAATGTAATCTTAACTTATCAATGATTAAGAACGTTCGTGTTTTACTCTACCACATATGGCGAGTGTATAATTTGAAAAGCGTTTTAACTAGAATTGTCTGGTGCGTTAAATTCTCTTCATTGTTTTTTGGACAGTTGTTGGTATTTGAATTTTACATCGATGAAATGAAATTTATTTTGATCTTGATTTCCCACTTGATATTCCAAAGGCAGGCGTATGGCGAACGAAAGTTCAAAATATTGCGAAGATTACCTTCTCAGGAAAGAAGGACGAAACAAGGTGAGTTAAAGTTTTCATGGTGACTAAGATTTTCGAACAGCGGTTTCAGAAATGGTTGCGCAAAGCTGTACTTCACTGTTGGCGTTGAAAAAATACTGGCTACTGAGCAAAAAAACGTACTCATTCCGGTTGGCACAGGTAACTACAGAAATAAACATTGTTGAACAGGGGTCTTAGTTTACTACTGGATGTCATTAATGTTAAAAAAGAGTTTTTTCTTAAGGGGGCAAGTAGTTGATGCCAACGTGTGATATATGGCACATATGATCAAGCGCTATGTAAATTTCGCTCAAATTAGCTAACAGTTCAACTTCGATTGAGGTTTTAACGCGCCAGTGTCTACAAAACCCGCCAGTGTCTACAAAACCCGCAATAAGAGGCCGAAGTTTCGGCATTTATTGTTGCGAATGTTGAAAAAAGAAACTTTGGGGAGGCTTTTTCTATATTGTGAGAGAAAATTTCGAGAGGATGAAAGGAAAAATGGTCGAGTAATCTTTAGTTCTGGTGTAAGTAATCAATGCTAAGTAAATATTGCGCGTGTGGTTCGTAAAGGAAGGGATATGGTAAAATATGGACTGGACCATTGGACCATTGGACTAATAGACTATTAATTGGACTATTTTTTGGACCTATCAGTATTCAGGGAGGGGTGGGAGGCAGAGGTGGTTGTATTAGTAAATGCTACTGATTGATGATCTTTTTACTGGATCATGAAAATTATTTTGAGCGGTTTTCCGACTATTTTTATGTCAAAATTTACGGGCTGTTGCACAGGGCTGTTTTTTTGTCATGAGAATGCGAAACAGACGCCTCAACATTTATTAGCAGACGCGATAGAGGCTTTTTTAATGATAAGTGAGAAAGCTTGCATTCATTGAAAAATTTTGAGCCTGACAAATTCAGTATCTTCTAACTTTGCTCTCACAAGATCAATGTTCACCGGGGAAGCCTAATGAAACAATTGACCGGTTGTACGAGTCTTGACCAGACTGATCGAATGGTCAGCAATTTAAACAATTTCAATACTGTACTGACTTAACGTTCGATGAAAGCACGCCCACTCTTCCGTTTTTTATCTTTTTTTCTCTTAAACGAGTAGGAGTTGAGCGGAGTGTTTAACAAAGAAGATGTAACTTTTTTTAATGAAAAATTTTACACAAGGTTGATTAGTATGCATTAATTAGCGGCTAAAGCAAAACAAATTGTACGAGGAGTTTATTGGTTACGTTTTGTTTTTAGAAGGTCAATTGCTACTGACTCTGATGTTTGTGGTGCTACTTTTTTATGGTAGCTTCTTATGAAATTGTCGGCTTATCGAACATTGTGACGACATTTCTTCCTCCATTTGTGCATATGGCATGGGATGAACTTAATCATAGAAATGCAAGGCAGCTCCGCTCACTTGCAAGTCACGATTTTCCGGAAAAAAAAGACTCCCTTATTTTGAGCGGTTTTCGGCTGAAAAACTTGATTAATCCGTAGCATTTACCAATAAAACCACCTCCCACCCATCCCTGCGTTCTAATAGTTCGTCTTCTACCCCTCCCTCAGTAACAACAGTCTGCCTCCCGCCCCTCCTTGAGTACTGATAGACTGCATCCCATCCCTTCCTAAGGACTAATGGTTTACCCCCCCGTAAATGGTCCAAAAGATTGTCCAATAATTAGACCAAAAAAGGGTCCAGAAAATGGAAAAAAAAAATGATCCAAAAAAATAGTCCAAAAAAATTGTCCAATAGTCCAGGGATCCAATGGTCCAATCCATATTTTACCTTATGCCGTCAACAAACCTGTACTTTCAGACTGTTTTACTAACACACTTCCTGAGCAATAGTTTGGTGGTTTTTTTGTGGGAAAATCTGCTAATGACTAATGACAAACACGTTTTGTTGTTTCTGACTGCAGTGGATACAATATTGGGTTGTTATTAGAGGCGTTTGGATGTTGTTCTACAGAGATCAAGCTACAACTAACCGAGATAATGTAAGTTAGTAAGTCTTCGTCAGGAAGTAAGTGATCATCATTTAACATGTTTAACTTTGCGTCTCTAGTTTGCAATCAGTATCTTCAGTGCTAATCAAGTCAGCGAGACGTAATTTAGCTTTTAAAAGTAGATTTCAGCCTGAGATAGAGAGATTATTACGGCTAAGAATGTGGCTATGATACCGAAAGTTGTAACTTAATTCAGAATTTTCTTTGTTTGTTATATTTTTAGCATTTGTTTGAATTGGTAGCCATTTACGTAAGTAAAATGATATCCCGTCTTTGTACTTTGAAAAATCCCTTAATTTATTCAAAAACTTGTTCTACATCTGAAACTCGACACTTCTCTTGGCTTGGATACAAATATTACTTACATCGTTTTCGAAACCTTCTGCTTTTTGTGGATCGAAAGATCCCTTTTTAAAGGAAAAGTTTGTTATGGACGTGGCTTTTACTAGTCAACTGGAAGAGTTTTTACACAAGGTTTTCTGATAAGCGGAATATTTGCTGCAAATTGGAAGCAAAGGTCACTTTGGAACTTTTCCAAACACCACAAACTTCCGCGAGAGGCTTTTATGACCAGCTGTCAAAAACAATCTACATGCTGTTTAACAGAGCTTGCGGTGAAATCGATACTGGGTAATAAACTTTGGATTTACATAAAGAAGGATAAGTACGTGAGAGGGAAGAAGCTCTCAAGTAGAAAAATAATAGAAAAGATCCTAAGAAAACATTGCTTGACAAGCAGATGACAAAACGTGCTTTAATAATTACCTAAGAGGAAAAACAGTCAATCTTGTTCAACTGTTATCGGTGACTGATGACGAAACAAATCTGACTTCCTTGTTAGGTTCAGTAAGTTCAGCTCATTATGTCGGAGATGAAGAAGTTTTGAGTGAGGGGAAGGGAGGGAGGGGGAAGGGAAGGAGGGAGAAGGGAGGGAGGGAGGGTGGACTTACGAGTGAAGATACTAAAAAAGGAAAACCTTTATGAGCGAAGTTAACACATTCAATACAATGGAAGGGCTTATTAGTGCATAAGTAAACCAAGCTCGTTGCGTAATGGGCGAAATATGAAGATAAGTATACAAAAAACAAAGGGTCGTACTCAACCTAAAAGTATGAACTAGTTTTGAATAAGTGCATGGTTGTTCCTTTTTATCGTATGAAATTTCTGGGTTGATTCAGGGCCGTTTAGCTCGGTTTTAATTAACCTGCTTTTCCCTCTATAATAGAAAAAAAAATCCCTGTATTTCACCCATTGCGCAGTGCAAACGTTTTTACGGAGCTTAAGCTACCTGTGGTCAGACTTTGGACGTAGTAACCCATCTGACTCTTGAGCATTGAGCATTGAGCATTGTTTGAGTATTGTAACTATCCTTGGATGGGGTGCAAGTTCACCTCAATCTCAATTACCCGCTTCCTCAACCCCCAGAGTTTCTTTTAAGTTTCACTGTGAGTTTACCGGTGACCATTTAGGTCAGGGTAAAGTGTCAAACAAGACTTAAGTTTTTTGTTTATGAACGCAACGCAATGGCTCAGCCTAGGTTCGAAACCAGACCTCACAACTTGGAGTCTATGGCAGTAGCAATAGCGCCGCTTTGTTCTCCAGATGGGCTCATAGGATGAACTGATAGCTGGAGGGTGTACGTAGTACAAGCGGAATGTCTCACGGTATCCACACATCCCATCTTGCTTCGTGTAAGTAAGGAATATCATCAAAAATCGTTGTGTTATTTTGCAGTTTAAAGGTTCCGTCGAACTAACGTCATGCACAAAGTGCAACACAGCGAGAAGAGGAAATTATAGCTTTCCGTTCTTTGTCATCACAGCGAGAGGAACACATCTCTTCAAGGTTACATATTTGTCTTTTGTACTTAAAATGTTGATAAGAAAGTTCCTTAGGCCCAATATCAGATCGGAAAGTCCTTCCAAAACTGCTGACACAATAGCTCAGAGTGCGTGAAAAAGGCGATCACGCACCACTGTTTTTTGTTTTATTATATTTTTTTCGCTCTCTCGACTGACTAAGCAGAGAGAGGGGGGCTTCTTACAGACTTATGAAGCTGATAAACCGGCCATGGAATTTTCCTTTCACCCGTTGTTAAGCTGGATCATTTATTGTAAGGCATGCATTCGTTAACTACGATATCTTTGCTCATGCGGACTTTGCCTACGAGAGGTGAGCACTTAAGCCGTGAACAATCACTGCTGTAAGGAACAGTTCGCCCCCCCCCTCCTCTCCCCCTCTCTCCACCCTGTGCGTAAACACTAAAATACGTCGTTTTGAGTGTTGGTCGTTGTTTTAATTTTGTCCAAGTTTATAGATTCTATATTGAGAGAAAACAAATAGAAACGAGAGAGGAATCTTTGTACATTGCAGAGGAAACTTGCAGCCTTGGATTGGAAAGAAGGCAACGAAATTTTTCCGAATGTGAAACCGAATGTGAATGTTTTCCAATTTTTTTTCTTCTAGTGCGACACTAATTTAAAACGCCACCAATGGATGTACCTCATTGGCTTGGCAGCGAAGGTGAGTCCAAATGGATTTGATTTTTTTTTGATAATTCTTTCGTCTTGTCATGCAATATCAAAATTATTCGCTGTGTTTTTCGTTTTTGGTTTTGTTTTATTCCTTGGTAAAAGCGATTAGGAAGTAAGGGGAGGGAACGTCACGCTCGATTTGCAATGCTTCAGTGTCACGCCTTCGCCATTTCCTTGTATAAATACGATTTTATGCATTAGCTTAATATCTCCTGTAATTGTAATAGGTTACGCACTTGGGATCAATATCAGTATCTGGGCAACTGCCCACCTACCTCTCCCCTAACCTAACCTAACCCTAACTTATTATCAATTGACCAAACGAACTGATATTGTGGAGGCTTACGACGTTCTACATTTTTGGCACTCTAATTAATTTCAGTTCATTCTAATGATCGGTTAAGTCGTCAACCACATAAATCTTGACTTTTGTATACATTTTATTCCTTAATGTAGATCTGTTACTTTTCCGCGATTTCGAGCGAACGAAGAAGAGCATAGAGCAGACGAACGTGCACGAAAGCAAGATAATTGTCAGTTTTCGCCCTTCTGCCACCGCGTGCCTTCCCCCCCCCTTTTTTTTTGCGATTACTGGCTAGCGAAGGCGAGCATACATCAGACGATCGCGCATGAAAACAAGACAATTGTCAGTTTTCGCCCTTCTTCCACGTGTGTGACTCGCGCTCCGCACGTGCCTTAAGAAAGAAAATATTCAAAATGACGTGTGTTCGGTGCGCGTTTTATCCGATGAAAAGCGTAATGGTTAACTCTTTTTGCACCTTGTGTTCACTAGGGTGATACGCCGGCTCCACCTCCCTTAGCTGTCCCTTCCCCGCTTTCTTCATCTACGGAATTAAACTCTCATGACGCCGAGGTTAATCACGCAGAGATATGCAGGCAGAACTCTGAGTCAGATGAAGACGATCTCTCTATTCCACCGGGTGTGATTCTTGTCACTACGCCCATGGAAGAATTGTCTCACGACGAGAAAACATCAAATGGACACACCAGCGCCATTCAAGGTATATTTCAAAAACAAGAATCGCTCACTTAGATTCGACAAGTAACAATAAGACTTTGAGCTGATTGATTTTGAGCAAGTCATCCATCGGTTATCGGTGCGGTATTAAAGAAAAAAACTGACTGGAACGAATCAGCAAACTCATTGAAAATATTTTTTTAACTGACATTTCAGGTCAAGTACAACATGATAACCTCAGCAAAGCTGTGCTAACGACAGGAATCACTGGAGCAACGCGTGGTAATTATTTAGTCAATTGTTTTTATAGGGGAAGTACCAAGCAGTCTGAGATAACAATGGCTTTTCGCATTCGTAGGTATTGCAATCTGCCAAAAATAAAAAAATAATGCAAAAGATAAATTCATATAAACAGCAGTTCAGACATATTTCCTCTGGCGACCCTCTAAACTTTTTTTAATAAGGTTAAAAAGACGTTAAAATTGTAAATTTTTAGCACAAATATCATTCATCAGCTAATAAGCTTCCCTCATGCACCATTAATTTTTTGCAGTCATGTTTTTACTTTTCATCAGTAAAATTTTTGCTATTTTGCTTTCCATCAGTCGTCAGAGAACCGTCCTCTACCAAAGCTTCTGCGCCTCAACCCGTTACTCGTCCTTTTCAGTCAACAACAGGTATGTGATGTGTAATGTCTTTTACTAGTTATTAGCTAGAGTATGTCAGAGGTTCTCTTGTTAAAGGAATTAAATTCCTCTTAGACTTTGATGCCAAATTATTCAACAAATAGATTCTATGTGGCGTACGAAGTGCGGCTGAGTGTGTCACTGATATTGTTAACGCATTTTGAGGTCATCTGTGAACTATTAAGGAGTTTAAAAAAACACGATGGCAACGGCAACGGGAACGTCACGAAACAAAAATGTTTAAAGAGCAGAACAATGGCTGTACACGTGAACAATAAATCTTTGTAAATTTCTTTGCCTCCTCTGCAAAACAACAACGTGAAATGACCAAACTGAAGAACGTGAACGACGACGGCAAATTTATTAAATTTCTATTTCTAATTTAACGCTGTGTTCCATATTCAGTTTCAAGATAGTTTTGACAGTGAGAAACAAACTAAATGACGTAAGGGTGTCGCGAGATTCGTAGGTAAAATATAAGTTCATTTTTCAACCGACGTTGTCCACGGCGTCGTTTCTTAAACTCCCTATTACTGAACAGAGCTACGGTAACGTTTAGTCTATTTGTTTTATATTTATATATTTGTTTTATATTTTATACTTTAAGCAGTGATGACACCATCTACGCGTCTGTCCACTAGATCATATGTAAGAATCAATCAAAATGTGTGCTGCAGTTCAGCTCATTGTATAAATAGTTTTTTACAGGGAGTTCAATTTTTTTAGAACTGTAAGATTTGTTTGGATCATGTGGGGGTCGTTTTTAGAGAGAAAGTCTATTGAATTAGTCGGCCTTTTTGGTATTTATGCGATGTTTATTTCATTATTATCATTACCATTACTTTTGACATCCATCCAGGTGTGTCACCATGTCAGCAGAAGTATTTTCCTATTGGCCTTAGTCCTCCCTCCGCCATTTCATGGGGTCGAAGTAGTCCCGATCGGCCAAGCAGCAGTCCCAGTCTTAATCACACGCGAAGGCATTTAGGGACTAAACAGTTGGCAAGATCGCCGCTCACTAACAACAGATTTTCACGATACATGGCAAAGTCTGTACCTGATATGAAAATTTTATCACTGGAGGATCCAAGCTGAAATAGAGAGAGTGAATTTTTTATCGTGGTGCAAATTGTAAAATGGCTCAAAATTTCGATTATTTACGCGAATTGCTAAAAGCAAACCACGATTTACATTTGAGTGAATTAGTATTTTAAGCTAATACAAAACTTGTTGCCATTTCTGTCACGTATAAGTTCAGGGCTCCCAATTTTGGCAGTAACAATTTAGGGTGGAACATGCAGAGAAAGAGAGCAAACTAACAAACAATTTTCTCTAAAGTTGGAGAAGTGTTGCGATTTTGTGCGAAGTAAACAAACCAAAGAAATCGTTTCATAGCATAACCAAAGCCAAAAGGTATGACTTGCGGCACAATGCGCGGGAAAAGCACTGTAACATACGCCAAGCGTGGAAAATTGTCATGCTCTAATTGTTTACAGTAAGTTAGATGACGTGTGGAACCAATCAGATACTACGCAATGCAGTAAGAGATCTACCTTCAGACAAATACAACTTGAACTATATTGGTCAGTAATGGTAGAATTTAACGTTTAAGAAACGCAATTAAATTCTCTGCTCATAAAGTTAGAGTTGCTTCGTGCAGCTATTAGTTTGGCTGCGATGCAAAGGAGAGGCGTTTTATCGTTTACAAAATTAGTCAAACAATGTAAGTAATGTATTTAAATTTATTTATACATTTAGAATGCTAGATTCAGCATTATAAAAAGGTGTTAAGTTCAAAAAATAAGTTAACTTTTCTTAGAAACTTTTCACGTTGATGGGACAGAAATATGGTGAATAAAAGTGTTGTTCTGCGTCGTGCTAGAAAATTTAGTTATTGCAACTCTCATTGTGATGTGAATTGCTCCGGTTTTATTTGCTACATACTAGGCCCTCCAGGATCATGAGTTTCCAGGTAAATTCCCTGTCTTTCAGCTCTCCACGAGCACTTTTCCCTCTCGCAGCATCACAGGCTGTGATGCTTGGAAAAATATTAAAGCTGTCTCTTCTAGCTGGAGATGGCAGGTATTTGAATCTTCGAAGTGTTTTGCTGATAAGCCCTTCATCCATGACCCTTCTTAAATATTGCAAATACCATGTCGAGGACGCTTAATAGCCTGAAGGGGGTGTTCACGATCAATCATTCCTTTGGGAAACCACGCTCTTCGCAATGGCGCCCAAGCCCCCCGTTTATAGGCCAGGCATTGAAAATTTCTGGATTACCTCCAACCCAATAGCCTTTGAGGTTTTTCTTTCTTTTCAATCCGGGATGTTTTCAATGAAAGACTGAGGAAGAACTGAAGACATAAGGCCCTCTAGATCGCCTGTGAGTCGGAATTACGCTAACATTTGTATTGATACACACTATCAATTTCACGAGAGGGAGAGGGTTTGAAAAATTTTATATACCTGAAGTGTGATTGAGTGTCTAAAAATGATATCCAGCTTTACCATAAAAGGAAATTCCAAAATTTCCTATTCCAATATTCTTGATTTTACGGACTTTAGCGAAATTTTGCATATACCTCCCCAGTTCCCTGCGATGGGCCGAGAAGTTCTCGATCCCAGACTTTCTCAAATTAAAATAAACATTTGAACAACTCTCAGGAGAGCATAAAACAGCGACACCGTTCTCGTGAAGCGATATAAAGTTGAAATATCCACCTCGCACGATGCTTTATCTCCTTTTTTATCTGCCTGGTACCTTACTTTTACTATCGTTAGTTCTTGTATGTAGTTTTGCGACTTATCTGGTATATAAAAGACAAAAATTCTTGCATATTCCGAGTCCACCTATGTCGAGGTAAGAAGTTTTCATGTCCTTGGATATTGAATGCTCTCAAGCAAACCAGTTTACCCTTTGTTAGCGCCAATTGCTTAGAAAAGGCCGTAGTCTTAACGGAACCTCCAGTTGTTATGCAAGGGGGTTGATCCTACGGGAAAGCCAATTCGGAGGCGTGAGGAGGGCGGAGGTTAACGTGATTTAAAAGGCTAACCTTAGAGGCGACAACTACATCAGTAGTGACTTACCTCAACATACGTAAATCTCGCTGGCCTTTGGTATTTTGTATAAGATTAAAAAAAATTCACTTTACTCAGGTGAATTTTTTAAATAAAGTAATTTGTTTAGACCTCTTTTTAAATTTATAGATTGTCTGTGAGGAGTGGTCACTTTTAAGGAAGGATTGAAATTTGAAAAGACTCGGTCGGTAATTTGCAAAAGCAAAACTTTTGCTTTTAATTTCCAGGTGCTAAATTTAGGTGAATGATGACAATTGGTTTTTTTTCTCTTTTTTTTTTTCGGTAAAAGTTCACGATAGATCCATTAAAGGGAAATATATTATGATGCTATCTTTGTTTTAAACACAATCTAATTTCCACAGCACCTTTATGCCTAGAATACCGGTTTAGAAATATATGCTATAGTGAACACTGTTTCCATAAGTAAGTGACTTTTCCTTTCATCACTTTTGATGACTGTGCTGCAGACTAAACCTCTGTCAATACGTCTTCTAAATATCTGTCAATAGCAAGATTATGAAACTTGCAACCAAACAATTTTACCAGCTTAAAGTTATTCAAAAATAAACTCAGAAAACTCAACCTCTCTATGCTCTTATTTCCACCATCTTAAATTTTCGTTTAAGATGTATCACTTTTATTAAATGTACATTTATTGCCATCAATTGCTATTAAGTATCATTACTAAAAATATTTTTTTCCACTCCATCTTCCTTCACCTCAGCTTAAAAATCGCATTAGAGTCCTGAATGATAATATTTACAAGTTCATTGCTGTTAGTTTTTTTAAGGGCCATGCAGATGAGATAAGTTCTATGCGTCATACAGGTTATCCCACAGATCAAAAGTTTCTGGAATGGTAAGCTTATTATTATTTTTTCATGCATGCTCATAACCTTGTATTTTTAAATATTATTCTTAGTGGTTGCAATAATGGTTACAATATTTAAAAGTCACCCTAAATTTCACTGTGGTGCACTCCATAATACTTCTTTCAGCACATCTTTATAATGAGGATGTATGTTAAAAGATCATAAAATTTCAGGGATCTGAACTCTGATACTCTAACTGAGATTATGTTGTCACAATTGTGCATTCCGGAAGGGTGTTAGTTGAAGTCTATATGTCTAATTAGGGTTACTAAAGATTAACTCTAGGGTTAGTAAACAAGCCTTCCTTACTATCTTGAGCTGATATTTAATTCTTAAGAAATACTTTTATTCCATTAATGATGACAGTGCCTACTACATATAGAGACTATCAGATGCAATATTTTTTATCTGAACAAATTGTTCTACACTTTTAATGAATAACTTTCTTTTTAGCTCATACAGGCTATTCAGAAAAAGATGCAATGCACAAATCTAAAGGAAACATTTTTCTCCCCAAAAAGAACATTCTGTTTGTAAATTTTTAAAGTAGGCTATTTAGAGACATTTACTATCTTACACATGCAGGCATATAGTGTATGGCAAGGTTCTTGTTGTCTGGTTCTGGCACATTCCTGTGCTTCTGGTGGTTGATCCAGAAATAATTAAGGTAAAAAGAAATTGTCTTTACAGGTTTAACACCATTAGTACTAAAGATTTGATTACATTTGCTTTAATGAGCATCTAGATTTATGACAAGTTTTAAAAATCACTAACTGATCACATATGTGTCAACTTAAACTAAGCTAACTTTTTTTGTGTAGAATGTGCTTGTAGTCAAGTGCCAACCTAAAGAGGCCATGTCTTATAAAATACTGGGAAGTCTCTATGGACAAAGGTATTTATCTTTCTGTTTTGGTTCCTTTCTTTTTTTGTTCTTTTCCTTGATTCATACATCACCCTTCAATTGTATAATCAATCCATTCTTCTTGCTTACCTCTCTTTCTTTCTGTCTTTTTTTTCTTTCTTTCTTTCTCTCTCTCTTTCTTCCTTTCTCTCTTTCTCTCTTTCTTTCTTTCTTTGTTTCCTATCCTGAGCTTCTTTTCAGTCACTTTGTCCAACCTACCTTCTCCTTTTACTTCCATCATCTCTTTCATTTTCCCCTTTTTTGTAATATCAAAGGAATAAAGATTTTGAAAACTAGGTGAAATGCCTTAAGGGTGTCTATGGGTGGAATACACAATTGCAAGAATCTCAACACACATTTCAAAATCCAAAACTGAGACAGAATCATTTGGTACATGTGAACTCTGTACTTTGAAGGTTATACATTCACTATATTTTAACATTACAAAAACCACACTGAAACATTTGTTGCTCACAACAAGTAATAACTCAAAGTTACTGATCTGGCTTAATTCCTTTAAATTGAGGATGGCAACTATGAGAAAAAATATAAGTACTTTGAAAGAAATATATGAGGCTTGAACAGGGGTTTGAAACTGATCATTGCAAAGCTTTGAGATTAGATATAAAGTTTAAAGCATCCCCATAATTTTTCAAGGTAATATTAATTGCCACTACCTGCATAACAATACTGTAACAGTTTCTAAGCCAAACACTTTATAAATGGGGCTGGGGGTGTATTTGACATCCAGCTATTCACTGTTATTGTAACTGTTGACTTACACTAATTTTTCACATGGTTTAACTGTACAACTTATCTGTTTCAGATTTCTTGGCCGTGGATTGGTAACCAACCTTGATGACGATTCTTGGAAGAAAAGACGTGCCATAATGCACCCAGCCTTCCATCGCAAGTAAGTATTCCCCATTGGATGAAAAGGGAAATTTGAAAGTCGTTTTTGAAATGATAATGTTGTACAGTATTATTTGATTGGAGTCACGTTTGGGATTTCATCTTAAAACTTAACAGAGACACCAAAACCATATTGTAAAACAGAAGAATTATGCCCAGCTGCAAGACTTCATAAACATTCTAAACATTCACTTAGTACTCTATATTAAATGGTGTAACTTTCAGGAGTCTAAAAGATTTGATGGGCTCTTTTAATTCTACTGCTGACCTTTTGCTTGAACACCTGGGTACAATGGCTGATGGACAAACAGAAATTCATATGTTTAACCAGTTTACCAAGGCAGCATTAGATGTCATTTGTAAGGTAATTAATTTATATTTTTTTTGTATTTTGCCTCTTAGAATTTTCTGGCTGCTATAAGATACTTTTCCACTTGAGTTGAAGGGGTAGGGGGGTAGGGGGTAGGGGCTCTTCCATGTTCTACTTTCCATCCCCCCTCCTCTCTCTACAGACTTTACCCTTGATATGATTTGTCCCATCCTCATACAAAGCACTTAATTCTCTGTAATTACCATTAACAAATCAGTCAGATGCACATTGTTAAAATATTTGACGTTCTTTTTTATTAAATCAATCTCCATCATGGTGGATAGTTGTTGGCCAGGACACCTTTATTTTATACCCAAATGTTTGTATGGAATATGTGCCTATTATTTGAATATTGTTCTTATAAGAGAGAGCCAAGCTAGCTCACTCTCTTGCTATCTCACAGGTGGCATTTGGCATGGACTTAGAAATTATGAGTGGAAAGGACAACAAGTTTTCTGAAGCTGTCTCTTTGAGTTTTTATGGAGTAGAAGAAGCATCTTTTGACATCTTCCACCGGGTGTGTTCTTTATCTCGTCATTATCTAACGTAATTTCAACCTCAAGGTTAAAGATTTAACTTCCAACTTGCCCTTTGCGCAAAAAACGTTAGCCTGCATGAAAAAGGTGCTCAGGGGTAAGGTGAGTGGTAGACTGTTGGTTGAAGATATGACCCCCGAGTTACCCATCCCCTATACCATTAGTTGAGCTTACGATGCTTGTTACTATCTTGGACTAAGATAATGTACCCCCCCCGTTCGCCTCCCTACTTGGTGCTTTTAATGAGGGGTTGAAAACGTGTTTCAGTTTTAACTATTGATGATTCGGGGGTGCTGTTTTAAAGTTCGTGGCCAAAAGTTTTTGTAAACGATTGTGGGTAAACATTTGGTTGAAATTTCCAGCAAACTCCGATGCAAAACCATGACACTTGTTCCTATTTTTCCCCACTCTTTTGTAGTTCAACGTTTTCCAGTATCCATTCCAACGAAAAGTGGTTAAGGCTGTGCAGTTTTTGCGTGAAACTGGAAGGAAAGTGATTGAAGCAAGAAAGCATGCCATGGCAAGAGGAGAAGAGGTCCCTGATGATATATTACAACGAATTATTCAGCAGCAAGGTTTGCCAACGGAATCTGTTGTTTCCTTGGTCAGGGTCATGTTAGGAGAGGAAGCATAATTTTGAACGTAATTTGTCCTTTACCATCTTTTGTTTTGCGTTTTCTGTTTTCAGAAGAAATTCCTGAGCTTGGAATTGAAGACTTAGTGGATGATTTTGTGACTTTCTTCATCGCTGGTATTTAATATTTGTAATTTCCATCTTTTGAGTGAATGATTTCAAATTTTCTATATAGTTGTTTCTCTAAATCAAAAATAACCTTTCTGTACAGCGTTCTTGAAAAAATCGTGTTATGATATGATTTTGCAGTACCGAGTAATTTGCTCTAAACTTACTCTCAAGGTTAAAGATTGTGGTATTTGCTTGAATTTCGAGACGCCTTTTCGAGACGCTGGCGCTGTTGCGGCGTTTTCGATATATATTACGATGTTACGATGAGATTACGATGATATATTACGGTTCTTAGAACCCTTTAGTCTACCTCACTATGACAAGGGAATTTAGTATTATCAACTGAGTTGATAACGTCAATTGGCCACCGTTAAGAGTTTAAAAGCTGACGTTTCTAGCGTTAGCCCTTCGTTCATCGCTTTGAGGAATGGCTAAGACACGAAACGTCAGCTTTTAAACTCTTCACGACGGCCAATTGACGTTATCAACTCAGTTGATAACACTAAATTATCTTGGTATACTCCCTCACCGATGCAGTACCACAGTTTCTTTAGAAACTGACCCCCTTTATCCCAATATGAACCTGAAAGTTGGTCAATTTAGCAGGAACCCGTTAGACATGTATGTACTACTTCAGTATAACAGTTCCAAATTAGGAAGGATGAACGCCTCAACTGTTTTCCCTTTTCTTTTGTCCCACAGAGTAAGTAACTTTGTTTAAGTTTTGTTTGTTTTTCGTTGTAGGTCATGAAACTACTTCCAGTTTGTTGGCGTTTTGTGTTCTTGACCTAGGAGACCATCCTGATATTCAGGACAGGTGAGGTGGAGTCAACCAGGCTGTTTATAAGGTAATTTAGTATTGTCAACTGAGTTGAAAACGTAAATTGGCCACCGTAAGGTGTTTAGCGGCTGACGTTTCAAGCGTTAGCCCTTCGTCAGAGCGATTGACGAAGGGATAACACTCGAAACATCAGCCTTTAAACTCTTCATGGTGGCCAATTTACGTTTTCAACCTAGTTGATAACACTAAATTAACCTATTATTCTCTCCCACCGATGCAGTACCAGAGTTTCTTTAGAAACTTATCCCCTTTATTCATCAGGCTCTTCATACCTTCGGGATTGATACTCACATTTCTAATTTCCGCAAGAGAGAAGTGTTAATGGCTCGGTTCGGTTTTGGCCTTTTTTTACTCATTAGTCCTCAGTCATTTCTGTAGAGCAATTTTCAATTGGGTGTCGAAGTTATATGGAATTTCTTGTAATTGCCATACTTTGGTCTGTGATTGGTCCAGAAAACTCGCGCCTCTCTCTCAACCAATCAGATGTAAAATTTGAAACCAATCATAACCAGGTCGCTCGCGTTTTGTAGGCTTTACTTTGAGTTCTCACTAGCTCCTAAAGGAACTTTCCTTCGACTGATTAGCCGTTGTGATTACTGTGGCTTAGGTCTTACGACACTCAATCGAAAAGCGCTCTAATGCGCATGGCAAAAGATTCAATGCCTTGGTAAACTGGGGGGGGGGGGGGGAGGAAAGTGCTGATGGGAAACTTGTTTCCCTACCTATAACAAAATAATTTGGCTTTATCAACTGAGTTGATAATGTAGATTGGCCACCGTAAAGAGTTTAAAAGCTGACGTTTCGAGCGTTAGCCCTCGGGCAGAGCGAATGACGAAGGGCTAACCCTCGAAACGTCGGCTTTGAAACCATTTACGGTGGCCAGTGTACGTTATCAACTCAATTGATAAAACCAAATTATCCAGTCTGAGTAGTTCGTCGTGTAAGCTTGCACTAAACGTACCGACCACTCCTCTAAACTCACTTTGTTACATCTGTTTCCTATTGCTACTTGCGCAAACGTACATAAACTGTTGTGTTTGATTGTAGCCTGGTTGGAGAAGTGTTTGACGTCCTGGGCGAAAAACAGCATGTCGCGTTTGATGACTTGGCTAAACTCCACCAGTTGGGATTGGTAAGGCTTCTTTTAGTGTTTAGTGGTGTAATTTTTGTCATGCGTAGACACGATGTAACTGTCATCATCATCATCATCAATCTTTATTTATACACGAAATCATATCATTTTACATGGTCTTCCCAGGAATCGTGTTTAAATTATACTAAAATACTTCAAGAACTATCGACTATTATGTTAAACATACAAAAACAAAAACAAAAACTTACATCATGAGTAACAAGGAACTATTTACTATAATGTTAAAAATACAAAAACTTGTATCATGAATAATAAGAGTTACAATGGTGTATCAGAGAAATCTTTCCCATGAAACGAAGTTTTAAAAACATTCAAACTAGGCAGTTTTTTAATCTCAGAAGGAATCCTATTCCACAGAACAGATCCTCTGTATTGGGTCTGGGGACATAATAATTTAGCTCAGAATTTCTAAGATTGTGTGAGTGTACATTTGAGGTGTTGGTAAAGATCCGCCTCAGATACGATGGGGAAAGATTATTACTATTATTACTATTAAGATTATTGTTATTACTGTAGCTAGAGCTGAGCTAAAGTATTAGTAAATACATGTTAACTTACTGAAGCATGTGAAGTTTCTCATTACGTAGTAAAGATATGAAGTCCTGGATCACTTTAGTTCGAGAATCAATTGGAATCGCTCAAAGTGCTGCTCTGCCAATACAGTGACATTCCACTGTATACTCCTTGCGCCAAGAAGTTATTAAGACAATGAAATATATTTTTTTCTTATCAATTCAGGTGATAAAAGAGACATTGCGGCGTCATCCACCAGCGACTGGTAACATACGAAAGATTGAAAAGGGTCAAGATGTCGGAGGATATAAAATACCTACAGATGTCGCCATCATTGTACAGTATTTTTGCACATGTTTGTTTCTCCAGTTAACAACATTTCTTAAGTTCGAAGCAAATCTATTAAACAGATGCAAAACCGGATAAAAGCGCAAGTTTCAAGGGTTACTTTCAGGTGGAAGAGAATAGGTATTTGTTTTAGAATGGCTAGCAAGTTTTGAAGTGTCCCCTCCCCCCCTCCCCCATCCTACGTACCATTGAGCTGTCAGAGCAGGGGTAGATATCTCGCAGTCACGTTACGACAGTTGTGGGTCACTGTGGGTCATAATTTATTATGAAGAAGTTAGTTTACAGTGGAAAGCCTTTTTAAGTGCGTTTGGTTCTCTCGTAGACGAGCACCTATGTGGCCAGTCACTTTCCTGAATACTGGAAAAACCCAGAGGAATTCAACCCTTACCGATTTGACGATGGCGAAGTACTTAGGAGGTATTCAGACAAGACAAAAATTTATATGAATTACTTTTTTAGATTTTTTTTTACAGTTGGCATTTTCCCTCTTGCGTTGCTTTGGCAGAGCTTGCTGACTCATTTCAAGTTGTTTTAACTTTTTTCCAAAATGGTTCCTCTGGCACATTGATGTAAAGAGTTTTTGTCTTGCGATGTTTTCCAGTCTTAGCCATACTTGGGTTTGTGTTAAGAACATGTAATAAGTTTTGTTTTCTCGTCTGTTTTTTAGGTGTCATTACAGCTACTTCCCATTCTCACTTGGACCTCGCAACTGCATTGGACTAAACTTCGCCCAGGTAAACATGAGTGAGTGTTAGCTTTGGAGGACAGGACGCAGACAGATAACAGCGAAACATTTTGACATCTAAAAGTAGTCTTAGGTTGATTTAAGGACCTGGTCTGATACACTCGATTATATTTTCTTCAACTTGCTTTTTTTTCCCCTGCATTTTTTTCACTCCAAGTCAAATTGCAATATGAGGTCGGCGAAGGGAAATCTTTGAATGGCTTACGGCCGGCGATTTCATAAGAATTTTCGGAAATCGCTCGAATATCTTCGGAAAGCTGTGAATACCTCTGCAGTGACAATTTAACTTATGCAGCCACTTCCGTCATCCCAGAACCGCTTTTTAACTTAACTGTAGACCAGAAATCAGTCAGGTAACTTTTATTTCCGTCAGTGCTAATTATTTCTCTCATACTAGATCGAGGCCAAGGTTCTGCTGTCACGCTTTCTTCAGACGTTCAAGTTTTCTTTGGTACCTGATCAGTCGCGCGCTGTTCTTGAAAGAGGGACCCTCCGACCCAAGGATGGTGTGAAGTGTACATTAACTAAACGGCACTAGGAACAAGTGCGTTCGGTCCAATTGAGTGTCTTTTAGCTGTTTTATACAAAGAAAATATTTATGGATAACACTTCACAGTATTCTGTTTATTTTGATTAAACGCCCAATAATGCAAGCCACGCGGATCATTATTAAAAGCGCGCCGTCTTTCAACAGTAATTTCTCCCTGTCTCTCTTTTTCCTGATGGGTCCTTAGACGTTTGAAGACTGATCTGCATGTTAAATCCCTTGCTTTCAGCATTGGGTACATAATAACCATTACCTTTTTAAGGGAAAATCCAAAAATTAGCGAAAGATAGGATTTCTTTTTTTGCAAATGTTCGACCATATTTAAACAGTCCGCTGGAAACTTTTTTCTGTTATTTAAGATTTGGTCACAAAGATTCAAACCAAACATTATACTTGATTCGGACTGAACACAACCAAGGTTTTTCTCCCTCTGAGCCATAGTTGTTAAATTATCGCCGAAGATAAAGTGCAAGAGACCTGCTAGCCAAGCGGTTGGCGCTTAGCGATCGCGAGAAGCCTGGGCTTGAGCTTTAGCCAGGTTAGTAAAAGGTATGGGTTGGAGTCGGTTGGGATGAAGAGCGACCCTGAGAACGAAATTGTGCATTGTGTTCCTGAGCAAGACACTTTACCCTCTCAGTGCCTTCCTCCACCAAAGAGATGTTAGTGTTGATTGGCTAAAAACGCGAGATGTGAAGCGCTAGCTTTACAATCCGTCCCTCTCCGGTGTTCACGGTGGTCAGTGGCCATTGAATTAGCCCAGACCCCAAAATAGCTTCTCGGAATAACACCACTGTGAAATATTAGTGGCTTATAAGGGAACAACTAATATTAATCGTTGGGGGGGGGGGGGCATCACATGGAATGGAGGGAGGCTCAGTCGCTGATAGAGTTTTAAGGGGACACTATAGAAAATGGATTGCAAATAAAACGGGGGGGGACGGGTGCATGAGAATATTACAGAGCCTTAAGTGGGGATAAGGGAAATTTTATCATGATGTCCAAAATCTTCTGGCCCCTCCAGGCGTCATTACAAGCTTGTGCGCGGCATATGATCGGAGTAATTGGCTTCATTTCCAAAGGTATCAAGTAGCGTCTTGAATTGGTGAAGCTTTTTTTCATTCCCATGATGTTTCCTTCGATTCAAGAGTGATACTTAAAGGTGAAATTTACAACCAGTCAACCAATGGGAAAGTCTTAACCAGATGCAGATTATTGCCTTGAACCTCTGACTCCCGAGCAAAAAAGCCTCAGACGCAAAATTTGACGGAGGAAACGGAGCATAGATAGAACTTAATTTTTCTTACTGTAATAAAACGGGGTTTGCAAATCAACGGTTATATCTTCATCCCTAAAATATTCCCTCGATTACTTGAATCAAGTCGAGATCAAACGCTGAAAAGAACAGTAGACCTAATACTGTGTTGAACAACTGACGTCACCTGTTTTCCAACCCCTGGGATTGTCTGTCTGCAGAGAAATGGCATTTCCGAACTCCTAGAAATATGAAATTATTAAAGGATATGCCCTCGGATTTCCGTTAAGGTTCCTGTCTTCGCTGTTTGTGGTATGTTTTCATCTGAAAGTATTCCGCAGCGAAAATTACATGCTATGTTCATTCTCATTGAATGACTGGTCGTCGAGTCTGCGTGGTAACAAAAGGTGAAAGCAGAGGAGACGCAGAAGAGAGGTGTACAAGAAAGACAAGTGCTTTGAAGCTCGTTTAATGACGTAGCATTTTCATTTATTTCAAGCACTCTGAACTAGTTATTTCACAAAACTTTGTAAAAGCACTGTAAAAACACGCGAAATTATTACTTGTTGCTACTAATTAGAGATGTCCTTAGTCTTTCTTATTACTTGTTGCTACTAATTATTAGAGATGTCCTTAGTCTTTCTTGATAATCAAATATGCTTTATATGCAGCAATTTCATTGAAGGACCCGTTTTCTTCACAACAGGAATTTCTGGGAGCTACTTCCGAACCATCATAGCGAGAGATCGACAAGTAGGTTAATTTCGCTTCGTCAAAGTACACATAACGCCATCCTTGGGTCGAAGCGTGACTCTTTCATGAACATCGCGTGACTGTCCAGGTACCAAAGAAAAATTGAACGTCTGAAGGAAGCGTGACAACAAAACCTTGGCCTCGATCTGTTTAATGGCAAATTCAAAGGGAAAAAAGCATCATGAAATAAACTCTCCTGTTCATTGGTGTGAAGATAATATGTCGAAAATCGTTTGATAAAATTTATTATTATTTACATTGCTCTCTGTCTTGTCACTCTACAATTTAAAGGATCAATATCAGTATCTGGGCAACTGCCCACCTACCCCTCCCTTAACCCAACATTAACCTTAACTTGTTGTCAATTGACTGTTGTTGAGTTAAGGGAGGGGTTAAAAAAGAACAAGGTAATGTAGAGATCAAAACCAATTCTTACCACCAACCCCTTTTTGATACAGGTCGGGTTGTTCTGTTCCAGCTTACAAAATCCTCTTTAAAAATGATTTGCAACGCGCACTGGGACAGAAACGGGATCCTCCCTTAGGGAGGGGGTACTACCAAAAGTAGGTGTGCCTAATTGTTTTACAAGTACAATAGATGGAAAAAGAAAAGTGGATCACTAGCCCCACCCCACTTTACTGAATACTCCCTAGTTGCCTTACCTGTGCAAAGTTTTGTCCGATACAGTTCCGGGGTCCAAGTGAAAACGGGAAGTAATTGTAATGAGAACTAAATGCGGCATTGGAAAAAACAAAATTCTTCATACATTAGTTTGAAGTTCCTTTTTTCATTTGAGACACCTACAGTTGCGTTGTATACCGGGGATAATGCCCGAGGGTGAAATATTGACAAAGTTACTGTAGTCGTTGTATGAGGCGAAAATTAATCCTTGAACTTTAAAACATGGCCAGCAAATGGCGGTCATACCCAATGTGCTGTTTGGGGTCGGATGACAAAAAAAACAATAGCATTGACTCTGAACACAAATTCAATCAAAGCACGCTTCTTACAACAACATGGCTAGTTTACCCTAGTTTTCCATAGTTCCTTTCGCTTATATAATGTAGGTCCTAATGACGTACATAGAACATTACACATAAGAAAAGAATTGTGGATAGGTTCTCGTTTAATCGCACAAGCGTATTCGAGTCAAAGGTCACGTAACAGTTTGCATGAGCGAATACAACTAACCAGCCCGTAAAGAGTAGCACTATATACCTCTTCAATTGTTCTTCATCGTCAAATCTGTAAGGATTGAATTCCTCTGGCTTAGTCCAGTACTTAGGAGATCGGCTGCTGGCAAAGGTACTCAACTAGAAATCAATAAGCACATTCTATTTCTTTTGGGGGAGTAAAAGGAGAGATCGTAATGACAAGTTTGTTCTAAAAAGTTGAAGAGCCTTGAAGAAAAAATTGCACAACTCAAATAGTGCAGCACTGAAGCGGTCATTGTTTTTACTAATTGATTTACGTAGAAAAGGAATAATCCTGATCAAAATTGACAGAGAATATTTGACATGGTGTTCTGAGCTGTGTTAGCTCATTCTGTCGATTGTGAAATATACATGCTGCACACGGTTTGCAAAACCGCTCATGAGCCAAATAACCCTGTGTAAAAGCTACGAAAATTACGAAAATTGAGATGATGGCCGATTCTCGTCAACAGAAGGGGAAGGAGCAACAGAACAGTCTGAAGTAAATTTGAAATTTGCGTCAACAGAAAACAATTGCAAGATTGAACATACGTTAGAAACTGCAAAAAAAAAAAGCAAAACAAAATAAAACAAACAAACAATAAACCTACAAACTAACAGACAGACAGATAGAGACGGATATAGAGACAGTGACAGAGACAGACAGAGACAGACAGAGACAGACAGAGACAGAGACATACAGACAGACAGGCAGACAGACAAGTAAAGCTAAGTAAACTGACATAAAGACAGACACAAAGTCAAACAGACATCCAAGATGAAAACAAACCGCGTTATGGAAAAATACTGTACCATGATAGGAACGTTAGCAGGTATTTTGTATCCTCCAATTTCTGCATCCTTTTCACACATTCGTAGTGAACCAGCAGCTGCTGGAGGGTATAGTCGTAAAGTTTCCTTTAGTACCTATTATAAATAACAAGCAGTTGAGGTTATGATCTGTGGCGGATACACATCATCATAAATCATGTTGACAACATAGTCATAAAAAAAAAGTTTAAAAAGGAAGCGCTATTAACTAACTAACTTTACCTTTACGTTTAATACCGCGCTTTTCGACCGAGAGTCGAGAAACAAAACTAAAGCAATCATTACGACTAATAAGAATAAAGGACGATGTTACTAGGACCCAATGAGAACTCAGAGCAAAGACAAGCAGTGAACAGTTTAAGCGCGGGAAAACAGGTGTGAAAGAGTGGTGTTTGGTTTTAGTTTTGTATCTCATTGGTTGAGAGGGTGGTGCAAGTTTCTCGACCAATCAAAGCTCGAAGAAATGGAAAAGCGATGCAATTCAGGATTACTTTTGACAGTAAATTGAAGATTGTTGAGAAGTATCTAGGAAAGTACTGCCACTTGTCGTTAAGCTCTGCGGTTTTCGATTTGACTTATTTCTCTTCTATGTTTGCGGGCAATTTCGCCAGAGAATTCAGAAAATACACTAAAAAATACATCTAAACTGTAGCTACAAGCCATGAAATATTTAACCCAAAAACTGAGGAAATTTAAGGTTTCAGAGAAAAACCAACGATCCTTAACGAATGTATAGACGGACCATTGTGACCCTAACACTCGTTCGTGTTCGAGGTATTTCCCTTTCCTGTCTGTCACATTGTCAGGGAGAGTGTTGAAATCCGTCTTAGATCGCAGTTTTAAAGAGCACCTGGTTCTTATGGGCCTGCCTCCTCCTTCTTCCTATTTTTCTTTCTCACAGAGGCAGAGTTATTGCAATCGGTAAAAGTCTGGTAAAGTCACTAGCATCTGTGTGTTTTCTTTTTCCGGTTCAAAAAAGGTTCACAAAAAAAGAAGCGTTACCAGCCCGAGTTGTTTGAGTTTGGCCAGGTCATCAAACGCAACATGCTGTTTAGGTCCCAGAACATCATGTATTTCTTCCAACAAACTAGACAAGAAAAAAAAAGATTACAATGGGACGTAGTTTGTCTGTGACATTCCCACAGACAAACTAAAATTTAACGAAAATTCAGAAAGAAAGCTCCTAAAACTCAGGTTTTTACGCTACATGTTTTGTTGAGGTTTCCGACCTGATAGTGCACGTCTTTCAACACCCTCAATCCATTCAGCCACAGTATATAAACGTATATAAACACGGGAACAGATGATTGTGTACGTTCAGGGAGTTATCGACATGCACTGCGACAACGTTGATTTCATCTTTGAATTTTACAAATGAATTTTACAAGCTTTTCAAACTCTGAAGCCGCATGGAGGGAAAAAGGCAAATGTCGTGTTGCATTTTAATGGTGTACGGCAACTTGAGGGGTGTTCAACAAGAGAAATGTTCAGGGGTTCAAAATTACCTTGGCTTAAAATTCGACAATTCAACTTAACGGTCACATCAACTTTCGTATAACCACCAATACCCCCGTAGCCCCCGCGCAAGTCACCAGCCACCCCCGGGGTTTCCTTCCCCTCAAAATTGGTTGGTCTTTAAGTCTTACCTGTCAACTATCTCCGGATGATTTCCCAGCTCAAGAACACAAAAGCTTAACAAACTGGCTGTAGTTTCGTGACCTTGAAAAATGATAATGAAAATAGTTAATAAACATTAAGAATATGCGACTGCTGCGTGGAGAGATAGGGAGGGTTTTTTTTTCACATTTACGTGTAACGTGTCTTACCAGCAATGAAGAAAGTAACGAAATCATCCAACATGTCCTCAATGTCGAAGTTTGGAACTGATTCTAGAAAATTCAATAGATAAAAGAATATTTATCAGACTAACTGATATACTCACTGGTTGAATGACCAACAAAATGACTGGCTGACTAAGTGACTGACTGACTGACCAACTGACTGAGTGACTGACTGACTGACTGGTTGACTGACTGGTTGACTGACTGACTGACTGACAAACTGGCTGACCGACTGACTGACAGACCGACTGACCTGCTATCTGACCGACTGACTGACTAAACTAACTGACCATCTTGACTTCTGACTGAATGACAGACTGACCCACTGACTGACTGCCTTATTAAGCAACTGACTGACTGACTAACTGACTGACTAACCGACTAACTGACTGGCTGACTGACTGACAGACTGACCGACCAACTGACCCGCTAACTGACCGACTGACTGACTGACTGACTAACTCACTGACCAACGGAATGACTGACTAAACCAACCGACTGTCTTGACTTACAGACTGAATGACTGACTGATTGACCCACTGACTGACTGCCTTACTGACTGACTAACTGACTGACTGATGGCTTGATGGACTGACCAACTAACTGACTGAATAACTGACTGACTGACTAACTAACCGACTGACCAACTGACTGACTGACTGCACCAACCAACTGACTGACTGACTGACTGACTGACCGACTGACCTTCTGTACTGACTGACTGACCAACTGAATGAATTAATAACTGACTGACTGACTGACCAACTGACCGACCGACTGCCTGACTAACTGAGTGAGTGAGTGACGGACTGACTGACTGACTTACATACTCACTGACTGACTGAGTGACTTAGCAACTGAGTGGCTGAGAGACTGATTAAACACCTTGCTGTTGAATAATTCGTTGTAATATATCATCAGGGACCTCTTCTCCTCTTGCCATGGCATGCTTTCTCGCTTCAATCACTTTCCTTCCAGTTTCACGCAAAAATTTTACTGCCTTTACCACGCGCCATTGGTATAGATATTGGAAAACGTTCCACTAAAAAAATTTGAACAAACCAAAGAGTAGATGCGTTTATGTAGCACGGGTTAAAATAAACTGGGATCAATGTCAGTATCTAAGCAACTGCGCACCTACCCCTAACTAAGATGGTGGCAGCTTGGAGCACTGTATTAATTTATTTATTGATTTATTAGTCTATATGGCCCAATAACACGAATTAAATACCTTGTGAAAAGGGTTCATTTGTGAAACGTGAACTCCTTCAAAGCTCAGAGAAACTGCATCTCTAAATGTCGTATCCTTTCCGCTCATAACATCTACGTCCATGCCAAAAGCAACCTACATAATGACAAAGAATTGAAAAAGAAGATGCTCCTTTAACCATTAAAAAAATAACAAAGTAACTCTCCAGAAACTCATGCTCGCAGATATTTTTTATCGTTTTCCACTAGCCTAAGAGTAGACCCTTATTTTTCGCGCCGCAGGACATGCGCTTCTCCGCCCGCGGAGGCAATTTATATCAACGTGTTCCTGATGCATGAACCGATATCAATTGATATTCAAAAAGATTCATCATCAACTATTCATCAACTAGATATTCAAAAAGATTCATCATCAACTATTCATCAACTAGATATTCAAAAATACCACGCCGACCTCCTGAAACGATATTCCGACTATTACTGAAAACTGCAAAAGATGTGTCCATGACACCATGTTTGGCGTCTAATTGTTTATGCTTTGTAGTTTAACTACAAAAAGAAATTTATAATTGGCACTCAAACACACCGTTAAGACAGTATGTACATCTTGCTGATGAGTGGACAGGAATTATGATAATCACAAATCTTGTAGAAGTGAGATGATTTACGCATAACGCCTGTTTATGCCGGCATAATGTTCAATGATTGGTCGAAACACACCCTAATGTTTGGAAAATAACTGTTGATATTCTAGCCAAGTGATAATCCCTACAAGCCTTTCCTTAAAATCTGAAAAAGGAGGTTGTTAAGTATGTTACGTTTTAATTTCCCCTGAATGAATCTGTCTGATTTATCATTGGTTCATTATGAAAAATTCCCTTTGATCTGATTGGCTGCTATGGTTAGTTTAGTTTCGTTTTCAAAATGCTTGATTGAAATGCGCTCTGACACGATTAGTACACAAGGCCAGCTCAGGTGTTACCTTGCAAATGATATCCAAGGCTGCATGACCAAACTGTTCAAGTATGCAAACTTCTGTTTTCCCATCGGCCATTTTACCCAGATGAGAGATGAGGAGATCAGCTGTGGCATTAAAAGAACTCATCAAATCTTTAAGGTACCTGTCGGTGAGAAAATGATTTAAACAAGATAGAGTGAAGTATATGCATATTACATCTCAGGAAAATTAAATGTAAGTTCTTCACTGTACATCTACAAATGTAGCAGCAAGAAACCTACATTATTAAATAGAATATAAAAGATGGCCAATTTTGAGCTTGGTAAAGAAATAGACAAATATTTTTTTCATCTTGTAATGAGCACGGGAAAAAGAAAACAATTCTGAGTTCACACGAGGAATCACATATCAACTTTGTATTGGCCATGCTCACTACAGAGTCCTTGTGGCTCAGTGGTAGGGCATAGGAATGGGAAGGTCTGAGGTTCAATTCCTCATGTGGACTAAAAATTTTTTCTTTGTCCCATGTTCATGACAAGACAAAAAACATCTTTCTCTAACACTATCATTATATACAAAATTGAAAGTATACACAATAATTAACACTTGCAAAACTAACAATACAAGCATTGCTTATTCTTTTCCTAAACATATCAATACAAAGCTCATGATAATACTAAAACCAGCTTGTTTTAAAAAAGTTTGATAATAACTTAGCAGCAAATGTATTGTCGTAGTGTTTCAGGTGTACCTTATGAAAAGCAAGCCATAATTTAGCCTTTCACCCCCAAGGATGATTGAAAAGGGGTTTCTCCTTTCAACACCTTCACCCAGAAAGATTATGAGAAGAAAGGAAAATGTTCAGAAGGGGTATCTATATGGTTTGATTTAGCACCATATTTTTTTAAGCTGAAATTATAAGAGGTATGGCAGACAATGTGGGGAACTGATATTTAGATCCTAAAAGTAAAAGGGTTGACAAACTCCCAAAGTTTCCAGAAAATTAGATCTTGCTACTTAACTAGCCATACTTACTTGCGATGAAAAGCTGGGTTCATTAAGCCACGTCTTTGTTTCCAGACCTCATTATTCACATTGGTTGCCAGACCATTACCAAGAAATCTGAAAAAATGTACATCTCATGGTGAAAAGGGCTTCACTACAGGTCACCCAAAGCCAATCTTATTGTAAATATCACAGCATTGACTTCACATGTAAAAAGTCTTCATACAAAACTGATTCACATGTGCTACCTATGTCTTACCCAGTTCTGTGGCAACCAGAAGTAACACCATCCTTCTTGGATGGGACACCACTCTGTGACAGGTTAACCCTGCCCGCTGCCCCCTGTCCCCTGCCCCCACCCCCTCTACTCTACCCAAAGATGCAAAATTACCATCAGCCTTCTAATTTTGTAGTTTTGGGTATGTGCTGTGACAGTAAAGCTACGAATACAACATGGTGAACTTGGCCAGTACAGTTTAAATGCACATCTTTTCATCTGGAAACCAGCCCAGATTTGTCATAATCAACCAAGTGATCTTTGCAGTAATGCACACTATACTTAAGCAGTAGTGGCAAGATGGTTTTGCAAATACCAAAACCTCAAGACCTGTGAGACTTGGTGGAAACCATCCCCAGTACAATATCAAGTTTATGAGTAAGAACACTAAACCTTGCCCCTTAAAATTTTGTCACACTGTCCAAATTAGATAGCAAAGAGGACAAACAGAGATTCTTTACTTCCATTTTAGACCAAACTGTGGTTTCTAACACCTGCAATGTTCTTATACTTTTAAGTTAAAGAGTCCCTTGCTCTAGCTGGCAGAAACATGACAAACCACAATAAAAATTACACTCCCAAACACGGTTTACGGTCAACTCGCCGACGGACCAACTCGCCGACACCAACTCGCCGACGTATAAAATCGAGTAGAGACGTCGGCGAGTTGGTCGTCAATCCTATACAACTTATTAGAAGCTAAACATACAGAAAATTAAACGATATTTATTAAAAAAAACATTGGACATTGGTGAACATCAAACAGAAGCTTAAACATCGGTGAACATCACCAATGACTATAACAGCTTAAGACGCGAACGAGTTATTATTGTGGGACAACAACACCGTAAAGACTCATCATGTCAATCGCTCAGATTTTTTAACGAAAACGTGGCTTTCTAGACGAGATCTTTAGTAAAAAGCATTTCTTTTTATTTGCAACAAAGTTTATAAGGATCTTAAGGCGAATAAAGCGAAGTAAACATCACCAACGACTCTAACAGCTTAAGGCGCGAACGAGTTATTGTGTGACAACAACACCGTAAAGACTCATCATGACAATCGGTCAGATTTTAAAGGAAACTTGGCTTTCTAGTCAAGATCTTTAGTAAAAAGCAATTCTTTTTATTTGCAACGAAGTTTATAAGGATCTCAAGGCGAATAAAGTAAAGTAAACATCACCAATGACTCTAACAGCTTCAAACTCGAACGAGTTATTGTATGACAAGAACACTGTAAAGACTCATCATGACAACCGGTCAGATTTTTTAACGAAAACTTGGCTTTCTAGACAAGATCTTTGGTAAAAAGTATTTCTTTTTATTTGCAACAAAGTTTATAAGGATCTTAAGGCGAATAAAGCGAAGTAAACCTCACCAACGACTTTAACAGCTTCAGACGCGAACGAGTTGTGTGACAACAACACCGTAAAAGCTCATCATGTCAATCGCTCAGTTTTTTTCACGAAAACTTGGCTTACTAGACAAGATCTTTAGTAAAAAGCAATTCTTTTTATTTGCAACAAAGTTTATAAGGATCTTAAGGCGAATAAAGCTAAGTAAATCTCACCAATGACTCTAACAGCTTCAGACGCGAACGAGTTATTGTGTGACAACCATAGCAACCACGCGGAACCACATGTTTTTTTTTTTAACTTTAAAGAAAGATTTATTCATGATCGAGAACGTTTGATTTACGATAAAAAAGATAAAATTCCATTTATTATAAAGATCAGATGAACATGTGAAAGTAATGTATATCATGCAATTACTCTTCTCTTGTAGGTCCGTTTAATCTCGACATCGATTTCAATAATTGGGCCGCTGTTCTTTCACCATTTTCATATTTCTCCCATAATCCAAACACCTTACTCTGTAATTGCCTAATAAAAAGAAATGCTTTTTACTAAAGATCTTGTCTAGAAAGCCAAGTTTTCGTTAAAAAAACTGAGCGATTGACATGCTGAGTCTTAACGGTGTTGTTGTCACACAATAACTCGTTCGCGTCTGAAGCTGTTAGAGTCGTTGGTGAGGTTTACTTCGCTTTATTCGCCTTAAGATCCTTATAAACTTTGTTGCAAATAAAAATAATTGCATTTTACTAAAGATCTCGTCTAGAAAGCCAAGTTTTCGTTAAAAAATCTGAGCGATTGACAAGATGAGTCTTTACGGTGTTGTTGTCGCACAATAACTCGTTCGTTATAGTCATTGGTGATGTTCACCAATGTTCACCGATGTTTAAGCTTCTGTTTGATGTTCACCAATGTTCGCCAGTGTTTTTTTACTAAATATCGTTTACTTCTCTGTATGTTTAACTTCTAATAAGTTGTATTGGATTGACGACCAACTCGCCGACGTCTCTACTCGATTTTATACGTCGGCGAGTTGGCGTCGGCGAGTTGGTCCGTCGGCGAGTTGACTGGTTACCCCCAAACACATCTGTTGGAACACCTACTGTCTCCCCCCGCCACTCTCAATGTTGGTCTACAAGATGGCATAGAGACATTGGGGATTAACAACACTGAGTGAGGGAAAAAAAAAACATCATAGATGCTGATCCTATGTATGAACTTTGTAATGTCCTTGCTCGTCATAGAGTCTCTGAGGCTTAGTGGTAGAGCGTTAGAGCACAGAATTTGAAAGTCTGAGGTTTAATTCCTCATGGGATGTCATGATATTTTTCTTTGTCCCATGCTTGTGACAAGACAAAAAACATCTTTCTCTATTTCTTTACTGTGCTCTCATTATCATACACGTTATTCAGGAGAAGTGACATCTCGACTAATTATGTCTGGGAGTGTAGCTATAAAATTCAAAACAAACTTTAATAGGTTCACATAAAGTACATTTACCTTTGCCCAAAGAGATAGCCAAGAGCAGTATAGGCTAAGAAGTGCTTGGGGAGGTTAGAGGTAACAAGAATGTCCTATGAAAAATTGAAAGAAAAAACAATTTTCTGGCCTACAATCTGAAAGACATCCAAAGCTATGCACGGAGGTCAAGCTTGAAAAATCAATCAAAGGTGAAACATAACTATCTTATACACACACCTTTCAATTTTTGTTTCCATGCATAAGTAAATGTACATTTAAAAATCAACATTAATCACTGTAATTTTACTGATGAATGACTGGTAAAAGAAAAACAGAAAAAAGCTTCAGAAGTGTTCCTTAATTAAGACATGCGAAAGCACAAATTACCTGATTTAAAACACCAAAATCACAAAAATTATCACACCTTCCACATTTGCGTTTCAAGGAGCCCAATTACAAAGAGTTTTTTGTCCAGATTATTTAGTTTCCAATATATACTATTATGAAACTCAAATCAATTTGTTTCAGGTAAACTGTATAAGTTGTACTGAAATTAATCTATTCAACTAAATCATTGTGGAAGTTAAAATCGACTTCAAGCTTCAAACTTAATTTGGAGTCTGTTAAAAAACTCAATAGTAATATATATACCTATTTATTGGCTGTATAAGTTTATAATGTGTCACATTTGCTCAACAAGTACCTTCACCATCTCTGGATCAGTTATTACAATAAAGGGGAAATGCATAAACCAACACACAAAAATTGCACCATATTCGATATGCCTGTATAAAAAAAAAAAGAACAGTCAAATCATAAAAATAATTTAGTTAAAAATATAAAATTAATTTGCCATTAAGTCAACCTCAACTCAAAATTTATTTATGATCTAGAATATAAAATCACATTTACCAAAGTACTTAACCCTTTAACCCCTAACAGTGACTAGCATCTAATTTCTCCTTACAATATCATCCCTGAAACACACTTTAAGGTCACAAGAAAAAGGGAAATGATCACCTTGTAAAGGTCTTGAAGCATAACTATGTTTATGAAGTTCAAATTTTGTCACCTTTTCAAACTTCTTTAATTCCCCCAAGACCTTCAAAAATACCATAATTAAAACTAAAACTAGCTCATATCTTCAGCACTGTTAATAGAACAGTTATAAGAATTCACTCCTTAACACTGTGACACAAGAAGTTACTCACCACTGTAGAAATAAGCTGTGAATGGGATTTCCTGCATCACGGCATGCAATAACGTCTTTTGTGTGCCCAGAGAAGAAACTTTAAAAAGTGAAAAAAAAAAGAAAAGAAAAAAGAAACTAAACAAACATTGTGTGTAGAGTTGTTTGGTGGGAATGCTTTTGCGAAAAATTCCTTTCAAATTTTCTTCCTTGTTATTCCTCTTTAAGTTTCTGAGAGAGACATAAAGCAACTGATACAGTTGAGAGCTTGACTCATTTCTTGGCTCTCTACAACCCCCTTCACCCCCCCCCCCTCCCCCAGCACTATAGAGAAGATTTTAGGGGTACTATTGTGAAAGACCCAAGAGAAAGGAGAGTTTGAAAGGGGGTCACATACCAAGATAAGGTTAGCAATGGACCAAAGTTTTGACTAAGGACAAAAAATCTTGCCAGTTACAATTGATGTACAGCCAGAAGCCCAGCAAAAAAAATTGCACTGGTCATGTAAACTATTTTTCAAGAGGAAATATTCTACAAGTAAAGAGAAAAGATCCCTTTCAAGGAAATTTTAAGTTCTAAGTGTGAAATAATTTCCTTTAAACAGAAAATGAAGTAGACATCTGTTACCTTCAGTTGATACGTAATATTTTAAACAACTAAGTGGTTCAAAACAATATAATGCTGTATTCCCTTAAATAAGCACCTGGTTGATTCTTCAAAACTTTGGCTAAAGGAATGGCCACTTATTGAAAGGAGGGCACTTAATTGAGGAGGGTGCTTATTAACTAAGTGCAATAATATGATGAAAACTGAGAGATGCACATGAAGGAACTCTGCAAGCACATGGAGGAGGAAATAACTGGAAGTGAATTTAACTGATAGGAAACTATTCTCCCATTCTGATTCCCTTGTAGTTCAAGTTTAAATTGGCCTAAATGAGGTGGCAATGAAAAAAGGTTTTCCTTGTTTCCTTAATATTTAGGAAAGTTAGGGAAGAAATGGGGGGGGGGGGGAGAAGAGAGGGAGTTCATGCAAGGGGGACCCTTGATCAACTTTTAATGGCTTGGGAGAGGGTTCTTATGTGGGGGAGGGTATTAGAGCATAGGCACTTATTTGAAAAAATACAGTGACTGAGGAGGGGTAGAAAGGAGGGATAAAGGATAAGCAAATCAATATCTGTATCTGGGCAACTGCCCACCTACCCCTCCCCTAACTCAAGAACAGTCAATTGATAACAAGTCAGGGTTAATGTTGGGTTAGGGGAGGAGTAGGTGAGCAGTTGCCCAGATACAGATATTGATATTGATCCGGATAAGTTAAGGTAGACTTGGGAGAAAGACTATGTTCCCTAACTTCCATAGAATACTAAAGCTCCCTAATTCTCTACATATGATGTTTATGGGGCATATAGCAGCAAAAGCTCTCCTGTCGGGTCATTCTTCTTGTTGCAGGAAATTCGATTGCACCATAATGAAGTGACAGATTGACTGCACTTCTCAAAGTCGCATCCCGTGCATTAGTATTTAAAACACCCAGTTCCTTCTCAAAATTATAATTTCGCCAATTATCAAAGGAGCTATCTTTACTTTATGCGAGTCAATTTGTGTGCAACGGTTCGCCAATTGTTCTTGCAACATACATACTAAGCAGGGGTTACACTTTTTGGTTCCCAAATCTTTGTGTCCTTCTAAGACTGTCACATAAAGTTCCTAACTGTTACTGATGCAGGCCTTTCAACGTTGTACACGCACAAATTTGCCACGAACGGCATACAAAGAAATACGATACCCGATTAGTAAATTATCCATAAGATACAGTCATAATTAAGAGGGCAGGTTTAGCCAGAATTGGAAATAAGAGATGTAAGTTGAAAAAAATAAACATCTCACCTCGTCAGTGGTGCAGATGGTATGTGGGCAAATTTGCGCCTTACATGAGCTATATATAGCGCAAAAATACAGATAAGGACCAGCAATAAGGCGATCAGGGCACCAAGTGCAAAAAAAATCTGGTACAACATCGCGTGAGTGTAGGGTCTACTCGGGGAAACTCCTCAGCTCTGCAACTTCTGCAAGAGATTACAACAGACGCGCATGGGAGACCTGGTAACGAATTCTTCGGGTCTTGCAAAATTTTAAAATCTACCAGATCGGGAAAGAAAAACACTTTCCTAATATAACCAGATGACTCTCTTGGAAGGAAGTGTAAAATTCAGATCGTGAATTCCATATTAAAAATGTTCCTATTAATTTTTCTTTTTCTCTAGCAAGATAATTTCAACTGTAAATATGATTTTCAGCTTTTGCCATTGACCAAGTGATTGAAAGGAACCACACAACTACACACTGTTCTTATCAAGTGTATGACCATATCAGTCAGTGTGGAATCAAATCTGTGGAGAGTTCTGGCTCTCAAGGAGCCTGTCATTAGCGATTGGCTCTCTTCGCTGTTTGATGACCTGTGATGCTGTTTTGGTTTTTCCTCGCATCTTGACCAATTAGTGTCGTGTTATATACTTATTCATGAGGCACTGTTTGCAGTTTTAAAGTAATTGTTCACCTTAACACCATTTTGAAGCCAAATTTTAGCTTTTCAATACCTGTGGCAATAGGTATTTCTTCTTGTTTAAACAATAATAACTTCATGTACCAAGGCTTCTTTGTGTAAGATGTACCTCCTTGAGCCTAGCCATAACATCCCTTCACCCACTCCGCCCTTAACGTCCCTGAGTTGAAAGAGGGCCTTCCAGGGGATTTGAAGGACGTCGCAAATTGGACCGAGGGATTTTTCTTCCGGATCGGTGGGTGTTCGAATCGGTGTTAATGAATTTGAAACACTCGAGTGGTTTTGGGGATCGAGTAATCACATAACGAAATCAGGTTAACAACAGCCGTTAGAAAGTAACTTTACCATTTGGTAAAGTATATTTTCAAGTATTTTTTACTTCTCTCGATTTTCGCTATCATTTTTAACTCATAATCAGCCACAGTCTGCATGGCTGATTATGAGATCATGAGTGGCTAAAACTGGTGCTGCATTATCCACCGCATAGCATTATTCATCCTTCGAACAACACGGGCCTGAGGACTAACTTATTTGGTAGCCTCAAAACATTCTTGAGCGAAGGTTTTTGTCGTTCAAGGAAGTAATTTCGATGTTTCGAGATATCTTTCCAATTTAAACTTAAAGAAGGTAAATGCAGCATGAAAGTTCTTGCGGAACAAGCAGAGGGTAAAATGAACTCTCGGGCAGAATACCCATCAAATCACTCGAGACAACAAAGGAAACGGAACGTAGACAACCTTACTTTTTCTAACTGTGGTGATACGGGGTTTGCAAATCCACAGTTACAAATTGCACCTTCATCTATGAAACATTCCCTCGATTACTTGAATCAAGTCGAGATCAAAAAGAAAAGAAAAATAGACTTACTATTATGTCAAACAACTGACGTCACCTGGTCTCCAACCCTTGGGATTGTCTGGCATTTCTGCGCGCCTAGAAATATACAATTACTTAGGGATATGCCCTCGTCGAGTCTGCAAAGTACACATAACGCCATCCACAAATGGGGTCGAACCATTATAGCGAGAGCTCGACAAGTAGGTTAATTTCGCTTAGTCAAAGTACACATAACGCCATCCTTGGGTCGAAGCGTGACTCTTTCAAGAATATCGCGTGACTGTCCAGGTACCAAAGAAAACTTGAACGTCTGAAGGAAGCGTGACAGCAAAACCTTGGCTTCGATCTGTTTGATGGCAAAACAAGAGGCGATAATCAGACAATTTTCAAAGCTTCATGAAATAAACTAACGAAAGGAAGTGGCGCGAAACGGGGCTGTTCTCCTGTTCATTAGTGTGTCGATAATATGTCGAAAATCGTTTGATAAAATCTCTTGTAATGGTAAAAACATTGCTCTCTGCCTTGTCGCTCTACAATTTTAAAAGAAAACAAGATAATGTAGAGATTGAAACCAATTCTTACCACCAACCCCTTTTTGATACAAGTCAACTTGTTCTGTTCAAGCTTACAAACTCCTCTTGAAAAATAAATGGAACGCGCACTGGGACAGAAACAGGATCCTTCCGTGGGGGTCCTACCATAAGTATCTTATGGGCATTTTGAGGTGTGCTTGGTTGTTTTACGAGTACGATAGAGCGAAGATCATCGAAAAAGAGTAGGGGGTCCTACCATAAATATCTTATGGGCATTTTGAGGTGTGCTTGGTTGTTTTACGAGTACGATAGAGCGAAGATCATCGAAAAAGAGAAGGGATCATAAGGGATCCCCCCACCTTACACAACCGGCTACTCCCTAGTTGCCTTACCTGTGCAAAGTTTTGTCCGATACAGTTCCGGGGTCCAAGTGAAAACGGGAAGTAATTGTAATGAGACCTAAAAGCGGCATCGAGAAAAAAAACAAAATTCCTCACACACTAATTTGAAGCTCCCTTTTCATTTGAAACATATACAGTTGCGTTGTATACCGGAGATAATGCCTGAGGGTGAAATATTGACGAAGTCACTGTGGTCGTTGTATGAGGCGAAAATTAATCCTTGAAGTTTTAAGTTCTCTCAGAAGAAACCTCACTTGTCATATTCACTTTTCAGCGACAGTTAAGTCCTTTTCAAAGACTACCCTCCCTCGAATGATCACACAACACGAGCGACTGTTACTCTCGCGTTCGAATCAACCTTTTATTGCACATGGCAGTCATACCCGATGTGCTGTTTGGGGTCGGATGACCAACAAACAATAGGATTGGCTCTGAACACAATTTAAATCAAAGCACGCTTCTTACAACAACATGGCCGGTTTACTCTCATGTCTCATAGTTCCGTTCGCTTGTATAATGTAGGTCCTAATGGCGTACATTGAACATCATACACAAAAAGAGAAATGTGGATAGGTTCTCGTTTAATTCCACAAGCGTATTTGCGTCAAAGGTCACCGTGACATTTTTGTATAGACGAATATAACTAACCAGCTCGTGAAGAGTAGCACTAAATACCTATTGAATTCTTCTGAGTCATCGTCGAATCTGTAAGGATTGAATTCCTCAGGCTTAGTCCAGTACTTAGGAGATCGGCCGCTGACGAAGGTGCTCATCTACAAATTAATAAGCACAATCTTATTCGTTTGGGGGAGAAAAAGGAGGAAGCGAAACGAAAAGTTTGTTCTAAAAAATTAAAAAGCTTTAAAGAAAAAATTGCACAACTCAAATAGTCTAGCATTAAGCGGTCATTGTTTTTACTAACTGATTTACGTAGAAAAGGAAATTGAAAATTTGATTGAGAATATTTGATATAGTGTTCTGAGCAGTGTTAGGTCATTCTGTGAATTGTGAAATATGTACATCGATAATTGTAGAAGCGTTCGTGAGTCCATCAACCCTGTGCGAAAGCTACGAAAATTATGAAAATTGAGATGAGGGCCGATTCTCGTCAACAGAAGGGGAAGGAGCAATTGAATTGTTTGAAGTAAATTTGACATTTGCGCTAACAAGACGTAAATAGAGACAGAGACAGAGATAGAGATAAAGACAGAGAAACTGCATTATGGAGAGACAATTAATACTATACCAGGATAGGAACGTTGGCAGGTATTTTGTATCCTCCAAATTCTCTATCCTTTTCACAAATTCGTAGTGAACCAGAACCTCCCGCAGGGTATAGACGTAAGGTTTCTTTCAGTACCTATTAAAAGTGACAAGCAGTTTAAGTCATGATCTATGGCGGATACATATCATCATAACTCATGTTGACGACGTAGTCATAAAAAAAAGTTTAAAAAGGAAGCGCTATTAACTAATTGACCTAACCTTTACGTCTAATACAGCGCTTTTCGATTGAGCGTCAAGAAACAAAACTAAAGCGATCACCACGACCAATTAGAACAAAGGACAATGTCAGAGCAACAACTCAGAGCAAAAACAAGCAGTAAACAGCTTAAGCGCGGGAAAACAGGAGTGAAAGAGTGGTGTTTGGTTTAGTTTTGTATCTAATTGGTTGAGAGGGTGGTGCAAGTTTTCAGGAGCAATCAAAGCTCGAAGAAATGCAAAAACAATACAATTCAGGATTACTTTCGACAGTAAATTACAAATTGTTCAGAGGCATCTGGGAAAGTACTGCCACTCGTCGTTAAGCTCTATGTTTTTCAATTCGACTCATTTCTCTTATAAGTTTGCGGGCAACTTCGCCAGAGAATTCTTAAAATGCGCTAATAAACGGCTAAACTGTAGCTACAAGCCATGAACTATTTAATCCAAAAACTGACCAACCAACGATCCCTAGCAGTCTCGTGAATTCACTAGTATCTGTGTGTGTTTTCTTTTCTTTTTTTGGTTGAAAAAAGGTTGCTAAAAAGGGAAGCGTTACCAGCCCGAGTTGTTTGAGTTTAGCCAGGTCATCAAACGCAACATGCTGTTTAGGTCCCAGAACATCATGTATTTCTTCCAACAAACTGGACGAGAAAAAAAGAAAAGATTACGATGTAACGTAGTTTGTTTGTGACATTCCTACAGACAAACTGAAGTTAACCCTTTCTCCCCCATGAGTGACCAAGACAGAATTTCTCCTTACAATATCAATACAATACCCACCAGATAAATGATGAGAATAAAGAAAAATATCAATTTAGAGATAGCTAGTTGATCCAATACTAAATTCTCTGAACAAACATTATTAGAATTGTATCGTTGACAGTAAAAAGATTTGCAAATTTGATCTGGAAGCTAAAGGGTTAAAGAAAACTCAGAAAAAACTCTTAAAAATCAGCCAGGACATGACCTCAGCCTTCTAGATACACGTTGGCTACCACTACCATCCATAGTTTAAAGAAGTACTAGTTATATTTGAAACCCGATAGGTTTCTATACGCAACATATTTTGCAGAGGTTTCCCGACCTGATCGTGCACATCGTTCAATACCCTCAATCTGTTCAGTCACAGTATGTAAGCACGTGAACAGAAGATTGCGTATGGTCAGGGAGTTATAGACATCATCTGCGACATCGTTTATTTCATCTTTGAATTTTCGCAGTTTTTTAAACTGAGCTCTGAAGCCGCATGG